TCACATCTGCCAAAACTGTTACCTTGAGAAATGTGCTACATGTTCCTGATATGAATATGAATTTAGTAAGTTGAAATCTCTTAGAAAATCGGGCATAAAATGTGTTTTTAAATCCGGTAAACTTGTACTATCCCTAAATGGAAATTTTGCTGGAAAAGACTATTTTAGTGAATGAATGGTCAAGTTTTGTACTGTTGAAATTGTCTTTTAATAATAAAGTTGATTTTGCTTATATTGTTGACTCATTTTCATTATAGCATGCTAGATTAGGTCACATAGGTAAAAATACTATGAAAAGAATGTTGAAATGTGACATGATATTATATAATGAAAATGATGCATATAAATGTAAAACATATATAGAATCTAAAATGATTAAGAAGCCTTATCAAATTGTTAATAGGACTTCTAGTATTTTAGAATTAATTCATACTGATATATGTGAATTAAATGACATGTTGACTAGAGGTCGTAATAGGTATTTCATTACTTTTATTGACGATTACTCTAGATATACATATGTTTATTTGATGAAGCATAAACATGAAACATTTGATATGTTTAAGGTATTTAAAAATGAAGTTGAAAATCACCCAAGTAAGAAAATAAAGACTCTAAGAAGTGATAGATGAGGTGAGTACTTTTCTAGTGATTTTAATTTATTTTGTGAACAACAAGGCATAGTTCATCAATGTTTTGCAACTAGGACACCCGAACAAAATGGTTTAGTTGAAAGAAAAAACAGAACTTTAGTTGAAATGATTAATGCCATGTTGATTTATGCTAAGTTGCCATTTAATTTATGGGGAGAAGCGTTGTTGAGTGCATGTAGGATATTAAATAGGGCTCCTCCTAAATTTACTAAGGTTTCTCCTTACAAATTGTGGAAATGAAGAAAATCGAACATTAGATATTTAAAAGTGTAGGGGTATTTTGCTTATTGTAAGAAGACGAATCCTAACAAGACCAAGTTAGGTCCAAGAGGCATCAAATGTACATTTGTTAGATATGTTAGCAATATGAAATCTTAACAATTGTTGAATTTGGAGTCCAATGTGATTATTGAATCCAGCGATGTAGAGTTCTTCGAGAATTCACTATCTTCAGATAAGGAATTAATGGAAATTAATAAGGAAATCCCAAGTTCAAGTGGAACACAAGATGAAACATCTTCAAAATATGTTAATAAACCTAGTGCAACTCGAAGGAGTAAAAGAACTCAAATTGAAAAGTCTTTAGGACCAGATGAAATTGACTCTCAACGTATTTCGTTTTAGTTAGTAGAAGGAAATGAGAAGAATATTGTAAGAACAATTCCTTTTATTCTATAAGTGGAAACCGATCATAAAACTTATAGAGAAACCATGAATTCTCGAGATAACATTTTTTGGAAAGATGCAGTTAAGAATGAAATTGGTTCAATAATGTCTAACAATACTTGGGAACTTGTCGATTTACCACCCGGATACAAACCTATTGGATGTACATGAGTGTTTAGGAGAAAGTACAATATTGATGCTTCTCTCAATACCTTTAAGGCTAGCTAGTAGCTAAAGATTATTGACAAAATGAAGGAATAAACTATTTTGATACTTATGCACCGGTAGCTAGAATAACATCAATTAGGATATTATTCGCATTAGTTTCGATATATGACTTGCATGTTTATCAAATTAATGTCAAAACAACATTCTTAAATGGGGATCTCGATGAGGAGGTTTCTATGGAACAACTTGAAGGGTTTGTTCTACTCGAAAATGAACGTAAGGTGTGCAAATTAGTTAAATCATTATACATATTGAAACAAGCACCTAAGAAATAGCATGAGAAATCTGACTTAGCTGTTACTCCATGTGTTCCAATTATATAGGCTTGTTTCTTTTTTCACACGAATTAAGAAAACTTCTTTAGGGGGTGTTTGTTTTTTATTTGAAAATTGATTCTCAAATCAATTCTCATTTTCAACCACACATTCTTCAATAATAATATTTTCCATCACATCAATAATTTTTTTTTTCTTTTTCAACCACACATTTCCTATCATATCACTATTCAAAATCAATTCTTCCCCCAAAAATCCCTACCAAACAAGCTCTTAATATCATTGAAAAATTAATTTTTACCAAAATCTTTCCTAGTTTACCCCTATTTAATTTTTCAGTATGTAAAATTAAATTATTGTTGGAACTAATAAAGAATTTGAAGAAGAAGAAGAAATGATAGTTGTTTCATGTTTCCAAGAAGTAGGAAATTTGTGTATTTGGATGATTTCAAGAAGTTGGTATATTAAGTGGGAAAAATTTAATAAGGGTATATCAATAAAGGAACACAACAAAATATTTTACATTTGAAACACGCCTATATATTTGGGACAAGAGAAAAAAGAAAACTCAGCCTTTATAATTGAAACGGATGGAGTATATCATTTGGTTTTAAACATAATAATGTAGATAAATATTTATATTCTAAAGTATGTGTTGATTATGTGATGTTTATTTGTTTATATGTTGATGACATGTTGATTATGAATAATCACATGGATGGAATAAAAGAAACGAAGAGATTTCTATCTTCCACATTGAAGATGAAGGATCTTGAAAAAGTGGATACCATTTTGGATATCAAAGTTACTAAAACTAGTGGGGGTTATCATTTAAGTCAATCACACTATATCGAGAGTGTGATAGATAAGATCAAACATTTGAACAAAAAAGAATGTAGTACCCCTCTTGATCCAAGTTCAAAGCTAATAAAGAATAATGGCAGAGAAATTGCTCAACTAGAGTCTTATGTATGTTGTTCAATGCACAAGACCAGATAACACTTGCAATTAGTAAACTTAGTAGGTTTATTAGTAATTCAAGCAATGACCATTGGAAAGCTATTGGAAAAGTTCTTGGATATTTAAAGAAAACCAAGAACTTAGGTCTGCAATACACTAAATTCCCGACTGTATTAGAAGGATTTACATATGCTAATAGGATATCTAGCACGGGTGAAAGTAAATCTACTTTTGGTTGGGTTTTTACTCTTGGAGGTGGTGATGTTTCTTTGAAATCGAAGAAGCAAACATGTATAACACACTTAACTATGGAATATGAATTTGTAGCATTATCAGAAATCGGGAAAGAAGCTAAATGGCTTAAGGATCTACTTTATGAGAGGCTGAAGATTACATCTTTGGTATCTAGCATGTGTGATAGTCAAACTACATTAACAAAAGCATACAGTGAGGTACATAATAGAAAGTCTAGACATATAAATCTAAGACTTGACTACACAAGCAAATTAATTAAAAGTGGAATAATTTCCCTAAATTATGTACAGTCAATAAAGAACTTAACGGATCTATTAATTAAACCTCTAAATAGAGATTTAGTGACATCTACTTCGAGTAGAATGTGGTTGAAACTCTTAAACTAAAAGTTCATCAATGATAGCAACCCTATTTATCATTACTCAAAAAGTAATCTGCGGGTTCAAAGGGTAACAACAAATCATTTGATATATGGATAGTTTCAGCATTATGTAATCCACGATAACCCTATTCTAGTTAAATAATGCTTGTTGTTACTGAAGTGAGGGTTGAGCTTTAAGCTCTTAATGAAGTTTAGTACTAATTACAAATATCTCTAAAAGTAACAAAGATATTGGAAGAACTTCACATATGTAAACTTTGAGGTTGTGCTGCTTCAATAGAGAGTTAGAGTTTCTATTTTAAAAGTTTATTGAACATGATGAGCACAATGCCATATTAGCGCTAAGCGAGATTTAGGAACTTGAGAACACTTAATACTTGTGGGTGTGTTCTTGCCGGTATTGTCATATGAAATCATTGGTTCAAAGGTTTCATGCTACCTTTAATTTTGACTTTACTTTGTTTGAATTATATTATGGTTAGATTCAAATCGAAAGTTATCTAATCCTTATGCATAAGTATTGTATACTTTGAATATAAGGGTTTATTCTATTTTGAATAGTAGGGGATTGTTAAAAATATTGTTCAAAGTTGAATTAAAAAATGGTTGTGAAAAAATGTGGAATGAACTCAATATTGGAGGCCAAAATTGGCTGTGGTTGCATAGGCCAAGGTCGCATAGTGTTGAACTATGCGACCGCATAGAAGGCCAAAAGAGCCGTTAATGACCTTTTTGTTCAAATTTTTGGTAACTTTTGGAGGGTTTTTGGCACCACTTCGTATGACCACGTTTTCCAGCTCCGGCACTCCTAGCCCAAAAAGGCAGTTACACGAGAGCCCTCTTTTCCGACTCGTATGGGCTCTTCTGGGCCGATCCACAGCCAGGCGAAGACCGATCTGGTTATTGATATGGTCACCAAAGAACACTGAGCTGGATGAAGAGAACACGGTAGTAAATCTTATAGTAGGTGTACGGTTTAGTTTTGAAGCAATCGCGGCAGATGAAATGGTCGCCATTTCGGACAATTGATATCAGAAACTGTAATTCGCGCACGCACTTTGTTGGTGGCGAGTACTTGGAGCTGGAGTATGACTGATTTTCTAAGCTTTCACACTGGTACAGACAAACCAAATTTTCAGGACGGCTAATGGGTCGGATCTAAGGCCCAAATTCGAAGTTATGATCCTAATATCCAATCAGTGGAAATGTCACCACGTACATAAAATTTATAAAAAAAATTCATTTTTCACATTAACAAATTTTTTTCACCGAATATACTGCAATGGGTTAATTTCACAAACAGTCATTGAAGTTACGTCAAAATCACAAAACGATCACTGAAATTTAAAACTTGCACTAACAGTCACTGAAATATCATCTGATTTCAGTGATGGTCTCTGGAAGACCTTTTTCATTTTAATTGGAATTTAATGAACCAAAATAGTTGAATCTTGAACCTTGAGGACCTAAATCGCAAATTTCCCCCCAAAACCATTTCTTTTTGGCGTGAAACACCGCACGAGAAAGGAAGCCGATTTTGGGAGGGATTAGGGTGAAAATCATGCTAATATCATCCAATTAATTTTTCCCAATCCTTAACTTGAGCTTCCAATCAAGAACTCAAATAATCAAATCCTCTTTTCATGATATTTTCCAAGAAATTCAAGAAAATGGCAAAATTAGTTTTAATTTGATTCAAGAAAAAACCCATTTGATGAAATCAATTCTTTGGACCAAATTTCCTCTTCCCAGTTTGAGAATCTGTCCTTATCCCATTTAACAAATGCTGAGTACTTTGTTTTAGAAGCTAAAACAAAGGAAGATCAATTCCCTTTTGACTGTTTTTCGAAATATGGAAATTCAATTCTGCCTGAGATTCATGATGGTGCTGCTGAATCTACAATGAAGTTCTTGCAGAGGAGTTATAGCAGCAATACTTTCGAAAATAAATCGAATTTTCTGTTTCAGCCTAGATTTGATAATCATTTTCAGTCTCCAAATTTGCAAAATGAAATGCTGAATTTCCTATAAGGCAGTTTCTTTTCTGGTCAAATGAGAAGGGGTTGCAGTTTTGGAGATTTACAGGTCAGTTTGCTTCAGTTGCAGAATTTTTCATAAATATGGCAACTCTGATAGGATATCATGTTAAACCATAACTCCAACCTCCGGCCACCGGACCAACATACCTTCTTGAAGCCCTCAATACCCTCTTCACAACCTACCAACCACTGACCGTAATCTCGTCGGAATTAGCCCAAAAATCTCGCCAAAGTAGGCTGCCCATGCACAATGAAACTGCCGGATTTTGGAGAATTTGGAGCCGCCACCTTTGGATCACCATAACTCCAAACTCCAGCCACTTTGACCATCGGACCAACATACCGTCTTGAAGCCCTTAATGCCCTCAAGTGTTGGGTGGGTTCCATTGGCCATAATCCCATCGAAATTGGCTGGAAAATCGCGCCAAAGTAGGCTTCCCACGCACAATGAAACAGCCGGATTTTGGAGATTTGGAGTCGCCACTTTTGGACTACCATAACTCCAACCTCTGGCCACTAGACCAACATACCATCTTGAAGCCATCAATGCCCTTTTCACAACCTACCCAACCACTGGCAGTAATCCCGTCGAAATTGGCCGAAAAATCTTGCCAAAATGGGCTGCCCATACACAATGAAACGGTCAAATTTTGGAATTTTCGACGACACCCATGGCATACCCATCCTCCAAGTCAATTAAGCACTTCATTGCGCCTCTACAGATGTGTTCATAACATCAAAACCAGTTGAAAATCAAAATCTGCAACAGATTTTCGAAAAAGGGTCGAAACAGCGAACTCGCTGCTTTCAAACCCATTTTTCGGCGCTGACGCTACGAGTCACAGTCGTGCACCACCACCATTAGCTTCTACTCATCAAGGAGAACAAGAAAAACATATGGGTCATCATCAATTTCCCTTGAATCAGCCAATTGGTGTATATGCAGCCCGTTTCTGCGTGTTGATAGAATTTGGGGGGTTTTAAGATGAAATTTGGGTTGGGTTGGGTTGGGTTGGGGGGGGGGGTTAGATGAAATTTGCATTTCAGGTCCTCAAGGTTATATGTTCACATGTTTTGGTCCATTAAGTTCTAATTAAAATGAAAAATGTCCTTCAGTGACCATTACTGAAACTGGATGATACTTCAAGGCAAGTTTTAAACTTCAGTAACCGTTTTGTAATTTTGATGTAACTTCATGACCGTTTGTGAAATTAACCCATACTGTAATATATGTAGTATAAATAAAAATGCAAAATATAATAAATCCCATAGTTAATATAGTAAAAGCTGAAATCATTCATCCAAACACACCTCACTCTGGTGTCACCATTATACTGATGAGCCAAGAACTTGGTGAATAAAAAACGAAACATCTTCAATACACTCTAAGAACACTACAAATTGTATATCAATTTGTAATCACATTTAGAACACAGAAGAGTCCAAATGGAAGCGTTGAAGGTGAAAGAAAGGAATTGAATTCAAGAAATGATTTTGGTATTTTGAAATTTTAAACAATGAATGATTTTTAATTTCGTACGTTTGTTCTTAATGTATTTTTTTCTAATTTATTAAATATTTTTTGTTGCTTTGATGATAGGTTTGAAAACTTTTGTTTTGAATATTATCAGCACTAATTTGGTCTTGCGAGTCTTGCTCATGGTAGATAGATTCATAAGGTCCAAATTCGATGATAGTGTATATGTTTTATCAGTTTTGATCACAATGTACATGAAACATGTTAGAAATATTGTTCAAAATTGATAAAAATGGATGTGGAATGAAATATGGGATTTGAGGCCAAAATATTGAACTATGTGACTACATAGTTCAATGTATCATGCGGTCGCATAGATACTTACCGGGACTGGAGGCCCTTCTTTGAAATAACTATGCGATTGCATAAGTTTGGCCTATGCCGACCGCATAGAGCAAAATTCTAGCCGTTATTTGGCCGTTGCCTTTTGAATTTTGGTGGCTTTTAGAGGGTTTTTGGCACCACTTCGTATAGTAATGTTTCGCGGCTATATATAAGTGGTTTGTGATCATTAAAAACATGTTGAAAACGTACAAAAATCATAGCCATATTCAAGAACAAAAATTCATTCCAAAACAACAAATCACAATATTCATCATATTCAACTCCTTTTTTAGTGTTCTTTAAGTTTTGGAGAATTACACTTAATGCTTGAGTGTTTATTCTTTACAAGGCTTGTTTAAATCCTTCAAACCATTTGCCTTTATCCCTACAAGCATTATTTCAATTTGAGATGAGACAAATATAGTTTGAGGACTGCGATATCTTGATCAAGCCTTCGGTTTTTCATCTTTGCAATTGCTTCTTGGTTTTATGTACTTTATTTTTTAGTTTGGTTCATGGTTTTCATCTCCATTCCCTTTAGTGGACTTCATACAATTTCCCAACAGGGGTTACTGTTTAGTTGGGTATTTTGCTGGGCGATTTCCGCGGAAAATAGCTCCTTCTTCAAATGTGTAACCAATGGAAGGTTGAAGATCACTACTTTGTGCACAAAAGCATATGGTTAGTATTCAAGTTCGAAAATGTGGATGACAAACTTCAAGTGCTTGATGGTGGACCATACTTTGTTTATGGAAGGCCCTTGATGTTGAAAGTTAGGCCCCATTTTTTTGAATTTGTTGATAATGAAATCAGTTCGTTGCGGGGGCTGCCTTTGGATTGTTGGAATACAAAGGCTTTGAGTAAGATTGCATCCAAAGTTAGCAAACCAATCTCTACCAAGTTACTCACGACAACAAAGGAAAGGTTGTCACATGCTAGAGTGCTTGTTGAAATTGACTCCTTAAAGGAGCTTACCCGATCAATTAAGATGAGGGCAATCGATGGTAAATGGAGGGACCAAAGTGTTCACTACAAGCATGAGCCGAAATTTTGTCGATATGTAAAATGTGTAGCCACATTACTGATGCTTGTAACGCCAACAATCAAGCTACTAATGTGAACCAGGAAGCTCAACAATCTGTTAAACGGAACGAAGTGGTAAAATGGTGCTAAGGGCAGCAATACATGGTCAGATTTCGGTTGGTACTTCACAGACGGAAACGACTATGCAGTCCACTTTGAAATTGGCGACAATGCAAAATGCAAAGCAAATTGTAAAAAATGAGGACCCCCCATTTATTGAAGTGGCTAGAAAACACAAAACCACCAATGCAACTCGAGGAAAAGGACCAGATAAACAACAAGCAGCTAATACTCTGGTTACCTGCAATAACCAGAATATGTCAAACCCAGAGGCAGAAACTGGGGACTCCAATTTGTGTGAAACAATAAAAGGAGCTGCAGACATTGAAGGTCCAAGTTCATGTGTAGAAGTCAACGGAAAGTTCAAGGGCAAGCTTGATGTTCTACCGCTAAAGCCAACAATAAAAGAAAAAAAAGAAGGGTAGCACCCTTCTCTTACTGTCATGAAGATTGCTTCTTGAAACATTAGAGGCTTTAATATGCCCCTAAAACATAATGCGATATATTACCTCACTAAAAAGCAAAGTATTGATATTTTTGGTATTTTGAAAACGAAAATCAACCATGCTAAGTTAACGCGAATTATAAGGAACAAATTTGGAGCATGGAAATAGACATATAATTTTGTCTCACACTCGGTGGGAAAAATCTTGGTCTTATGGAATCCAACAAAAGCTGACCTTCGTGTGACGGAAGCTGGCACCCACAGTTCATACATTGTGAGGTCACTCGCAATGTAACATCTATAACATTTTATTTAAGTTTCATTTATGGTTTTCATTCTACTATCACTTGGAGGCCTTTATGGAGTAACTTAATGAATTTTGGAGCCAATTGCTTGATTCCTTGGATGATCATTGGTGATTTTAATAATGTACTTTAGTATGATGAAAGATATAACGGAGCCAAAGTAACTTTGTATGAGATTAGGGATTTTGCGGATTGTTGTTTGAATGCGGGTCTTACAGACTTGAGATCTATTGGATGCTTCTATACTTGGTCCAAAAACCCGTTAGGAAGCACATACCGATTGGAACCAACCTTTGTAACGAAGGAATTTGTTTTGTGTAAAAAACTGCAACGACTTAAAGGAACACTTAAGCAGCTCAATGGGAAACATTTCAACCACATTTCTCCAAGAGCAGACAAGGTAAATCTGGATCTTAAAGCTACCCAGTAGGCTGCTCATGATCAACCTGGTAACATTGTGCTTTAAAGTTACGTTAATATGTTGAGAAAAGAAGCTCATGCATTGTGTGAAGCAGAAATGAGTTTTTTTTTCTATCAACAGGCTAAATGTGCTTCTCTCAAGAGTAGCGATAGATGTACAAAATTCTTCCATGCCGTCGTCAAAAGAAATGCTAAGAGGAATTTTATTGCAACAGTTTGTAAGGATGACAAGCACACAACCACCACCCAAGGGAAAGATACCAAATTATTTACAGATTTCTATGACAAACTTCTAGGTGCGGATGGTAACCATGTGCAGACTGATTCAAGTATTTTAGTAAGGGGTCTTTACTCTCTGCGGACCAAGCTAGATCTCTTACAAATGAGATTAAAGCCACCTTATTCATCATTGGAGATGACAAATCTCAGGGGCCAGATGGATTTATTTCTTGTTTATTTAGGAAGGCATGGGACATTGTTGGAGATGATTTTTGTGGTGCTATCATGGAATTCTTTTCGACCAGCACACTTCTAGAGCAAATCAACCACACGGTTATTGCCTTGGTGCCGAAATCTAGCCACACTTCGATAGTTGGGGACTATCGACCTATTGCTTGTTGTAACGTTACTTACAAGGTAATTAATAAAATCCTAGCTTCCAGACTATTACCCATTCTTGGATCTATATTGAATCAGGCACAAGTTGCATTTGTTGAGGGTTGAGCATGATCGAGAACATTCACCTCGCACAATAGCTATTAAGGCAATACAACAGGAAACGTGTATCACCTAGATGCCTTATCAAAATTGATTTAAAGAAGGCGTATGGCTTTGTGAATGGGGCATTCTTTAGAGTTGTTCTCATGGGACCTGGGTTTTCCATGATGTTCATTGAATGAGTGATGGAATGTGTTATAACTCCATCATATTCACTATCGATTAATGGCAACTTGAATGGCTTAATCAAAGGTAGAAAGGCCCTCAGACAATGTCATCATCTCTCCCCATTCTTGTTTGTGATTTTCTTGGAATACTTCTCTAGATATTGAAGACGGCCATGGAAAATTCCGAGTTCAATTTACATCCTAAGTGTGGGCGACTTTGAATCGCCCATCTTGCTTTCGCGGATGATTTGATACTAATTTCGAATGGTGATATTATTTCGATTAGAATATTTATGGCATGCTTAGCCAAGTTTGGTTATATATCGGGGCTAAACATAAACGCAGCCAAATCAACTAATCAAGTCTATACATGACTGGTATCTTTGGCTGGAATTGGATGAAATTCTTGAGGTAACGAACATTCCCAAAGGTGCTATGCCTTTCGGTTATTTAGGTACTCCACTTGCTGTGGGAAGATTGAAGGTTAACTACTTCAGCCCTTTTTTAGAGAAAACTGCTACCTATATTAGTGCATGGACAACCTCATCTTTATCTTATGCTGGAAGGACCGAACTGATCAGGGCCGTTTTGCAAGGGGTGGAATGCTTTTGGCTATCCATTTTTCCTATCCCAACTCCTGTCATTGACATAATTATTCGGTTATGTAGGAACTTATTGTAGGGATCAAAGAAGCCAATGTTGCGTAGAAAGATACTTGCATGCCGAAGGATAAAGGAGGCTTGGAGGATATTAGGTGTTGGAACAAAGCTTTCCTTACTAAATCCCTAAGGAATGTTCATGCAAAAAAAGATATATTATGGGCCCGATTGATCAATCACATCTACCTTAAAGATGCATTAGTTTGGGACATATTACCCAAGACAGAAGACTTGCCATTGTTCAAGAGACTCCTTCATATCAGAGATTTGCTTACTTCTGGGGAGGAGTCCACTCATATGGCCATACAGAAGATTGAAAGTTGGACACAATGAGGGAACATCTGTATTTCACTTGCCTATAACTGCTTCAAGCTGAAAGGAACAAAGACGGTTTGGAAAACGTCTGTTTGGAATACATGTATCACACCGAAGCACTCCTTTTGTCAAGAAATATAAATTGTATTATTGTGGTCTTGTAAATATTACAATGTAGAAGACCCTATTTATAGGGTTACAAATAACTGTGAAATGAAATAAATATAAAAGGAAATATTACATAATCAACTACTATAGAAAATAATCCTACACTAAGAAGAAATAATATAATGGAAAATATTCTATATTTAACACCCTCCCCTCAAACTCAATATGGGGTAGAATATTGAGTTTGAAGATATCGATCCAATCAAATCTTCCAAATTGAAGAACTCCAAGCACTTGAGGTCTCTGGCATTGTTGATGGAGATAAGCTACTTCTTGTTTGCTGAAAGAAAATATGTGATGGACTTTTTTTTTTTTTTTTTTTGTTAACATAAAAAAAAACCTCTAGTTAGTTTAAGAGGCAGGGGGAGTGCCAGTAAAGTTTAAGGTACCGACCCTCCAAATTTGAACATAAAAAAAACCTCTAGGTAGTTTAAGAGGCAGGGGGAGTGCCGGTAAAATTCAAGGTACCGACCCTCCAAATAAAATAGAATTAAATTTCCAAGAATTTTTTTTTTTTTTTAAACATGATAGAAATATTGAAAATTTAGGAAATTCACAAAGAATTCAGAATCAGTCAGGATAAAGAGTAGGCAGTGGCTTCTAGTAAATTCACCAAGTGTAAAAAGACAATTGCTTCTCTCAGCGGCAGCTAAAATCTCTTGTGAGTTGTGACATTGGATGATTTCTTCAAATACTAAGAAAGGCCAGCAGAGCTCCATTGAAAGCCATCTTAAGCTGGTGCAGACTCCTTGTCGTTGCATTACATCCAAAGCTTCAGGCCTTTTTTTTTTTTTTTTGCATATTTAACTCAAGACCAACTTAAACCTGCTCTGATACCATGTCAAAAAATATAAATTGTATTATTGTGGTCTTGTAAATATTACAATGTNGTTACAAATAACTGTGAAAGGAAATAAGTATAAAAGGAAATATTACACAATTAACTACTATAGAAAATAATCCTACACTAAGAGGAAATAATATAATGGAAAATATTCTATATTTAACACCTTTATCCTTTAGTTAAGAGCCAAGTCTAAGCTACTAATCAAGGATAAATTACAGCATATGGACATTGATAGAAATTGCGTGCTATGTGGCACTTCAACCAAATCTGTTCAACACTTTGTTCTTTGAATGCACTATGAGTTCAAATGTGCGGAGGGAAATCAAAGATTGTCTGGGCATTCAATGAGCTATGTCTACTATCACTAGCTCTTTGAAATGGATTGAGAAGAAAGCTCGAGGCACTCATGGCAAAGCAAAGCTAAGATAGCCCTTGCTTGCACTGTTTACCAAATATGGACAGCACGCAATATGATGATTTTTGAGGATCTTTGGCCACAACCGGATAGCATTGTTAGAACGAATAAAACGTATGTATATAAAGTAATGTTTACATTGTATCGTCATGTTTTAACCCATTATGAGTCGCTAGCTTTGGATCGATTATTTCGTTTGTACATTATTTCTTTTGTAGTTTCGCCCGACTATGTTCGAAGTACTTGTAATTTTTGGATTAATACAATTCACATTTACCTATTAAAAAAAAAACAAATAAACAAACAAACTTTGCCCATATTTGAGTCACATTCTCATTTTTCTACTTATTTTCAACCACACATTTTTCAATAAGATAATATTTTTCATCACATCAATAACTTTTTCTTTTTTTTTCAACCACATATTCAACATTATATTACAAAAAAAAAAATGCACAATGTTCATCAAACACACTATTTGTTGACACTTACCATACACGCTAAAACCCATTTCTCGGTCACAATTCGCTCCTCCCTCCCCCATTCATAACAGTAGCCCATGATGTAGCCCAAATCTTTAATTCGCATTCTCTTCGTCGCCCTTGTGTTGTACCCAGGTTAGATTTGGCTTCTCGTCTTTGCTGCAATGCTTCTTGGAGAAATATTTGTGAATGGTTTTCCAAATACTCAACAATAATCAATCAAAGGCAAGACGTTTATGTGTACTTATGTGTTTTCTCTGTTAATTTAAAATTGTTTGCTCAGAAGTCATATATAATGGCATGGGCAGTATTATACTAAATTGCTTGGTTGACAGGCAGGAGAAGTTTCTATCACAGCGATTGCTTCGATCAGTGAATACTCGTTTTAGATCCACAGTTGGTACCTTAGATGGATTTAATCGCAATTCTTAATCTTTTGATGGTCTATCTTTCTAGATGCAAAATAAGTGCATAATACATTATAAACTACATCATAAACGGTCTTCAAATTCTTAATTGAACATTTTAACGTGTGCAAACAAATAATTCTTATAAAGAAACTATAATTTTTGTTGGTAGGGGCAATGAGGAGTACTCCCAAATTGGGTCTATTAGAAATAATTCTTTAATATTTTAGTGTGCAGTGGGCTATTATCCAAAAGGTTCTATCAGATTTTTTATTTTTTGTGGGCCAAAAGCCTTGAGGCTGTGCTGTGAGGTGTATGCCTCACACAACTGAGGCATACGCCTCTTAAAACCATTTAACAATCAGCGTCTTGAGGCCTTTTTTGCACAAGCCTTAAGGCCGGTTTCAATTGGGTTTTTCAAACCATTATTAGCGTTCAGTGCGAAAGGACAGAACAACTAGATGTTAATAACTGAGTGTTGAAGCAAAAGATAGGAAATAAATAAAAAGAGATTGTCCCGGCAGAGGACTGTGATGATGAGATGACACACTCTTCTTGGATGCCATAAGGAACATCTCAATATATGATGGAGAAGGGGTCTTGCTAATTTCCTACACACATATAAAATGTAAACGACGTAGAATGGAGCCAAGTGGTGTTGCTTAAAAGTGATTGAGAACACATTAAGCATGCATTTGTCTTTTCCAGCATTATTAAGGCAGTGATAAGTTTTTATTTTTCTTTTTACGGGAGTTTTGACCACTTTAAAGCAATATTTTTCCATACCCATCAACAAATACGCCAAGCTCAAAGTTATCGTAGAAGAAACATGCTAATCCCCAATGGAAGCTTTTCAGAACTACCTGCCATGTACCTTACCACAAACCTCATTGTGCTCCGTCTTCTTGACGTTATTCCTTTTTTTGTGCTGGCAACTTCTTGTGTGCCTTTAGGATCTCTATAACCTTTCCTTTTCTCTCTGTAAAAGTTTGGCATTTGTGTTGTTCACACGATTGTGCTGAAAAATTTAGATCACTGAATTGTAAATCCAAGATTATCTCACTTGGTCAAAACATTGATGGGACTCAAGAAGCCAAAAAAGAAAATCATTTAAGCCAAAAATTGCAGTTTTTCCCATTTTTATACAAGTTATGAACCAAAGATCCTAACTTTTTCTTCCTGCTGGTATGAACTAATATTTAATCTTTATGGTCATATATGGCTCTGCCGAATTGGTTGTTAGTTGGCATTGTTAGACATTTTGAAGTTGAGATGATGTAGTGGCTATAGGGGCGGTAGCGTTGGTGACAGTGTCTTTGATTATATTAGCCATGGATGGGATGAAAAAGGTCAAGAAGCTGAATCAAATGCAAACCAAATATTGATTATTTTATAACTACATTGGGTATTGTTTGGGCGTTTGAAAATATGAATCAGAAGACAAAAAATCCTAATAAAGTGGATTGGGTAAACCAATGCTCATGCTGGCTTGGTGTTGCTTGTTGAATTGATATGTTGTTATTGGATGTTTACTTGGCTACTCAATTCTCTCGAATTGTTTCCTGTGCATGAAATTGCCAATAAGGCATTTCTCTTTTGGTGAAACTCATTTCCTACCATGGCTGGATAATTTCCTTTTTTAGTTTAATTATGTGAAAAAATTAATTAACCTAGAGCTTGTAAAGAAGTTGAAGAAAGTGCTGTTAGAGATGTACAGCATTTTGCAATATTTTCTCTGCCAATTCTTTTCATCCTGACTATACATACTTATAAAGCCATTTGGACTTTATTCTTTTGCAGCTGTTGAGGTATTTATCCGGTCAGCATGGCATTTGGATTATGTTAATTTTATTTTGCTGCTGGACCCATTCAGCATTTAGAACAGCAACTTCATTGTCTGTGACCCAAGGTGTTTGTTAAGGGTTTCAAAATATTGACAATGGCCCAAATAAATTTTCGATTTCTTCTTTGTTTCTCAGCAATTCTTCGAGTCTTCTTAATATTGTATGGGGAGTGGCAAGACACTCATATGGAGGTCAGGTATACGGATGTCGACTATCTTGTCTTTTCTGATGCTGCAGCCTTAATGGCATCTGGAAAAGCACCTTATGAAAGATCAACGTATCGGTATTCACCACTGATTGCTGCCCTTCTCTTGCCAAATTCATTTCTTCATCACCTGTGGGGAAAGTTTCTCTTCTCGGCCTCAGGTATACCATGTTTCTTAATTAACAAAGTGCAGAAATTTTGAAGTGGAGAAAGAACTGGGTTATTCTTAACTAGTTCACTTTTTTTTTTATAATCGTGGGTGTTCGGGCTAGCTTGCGAGCACCTCAACTAATCCCACGAGGCCTCAAGTTTACAGTTGGGCACTCACCTCAGTGCCTGAGAGGACTCGAACTATTCTTAACTAGTTCACTGATTAGAACTGGGTATATATAAATTATTTTTTGAGCTTTTGAACTGAAAACATTAGCATACTTTGTACTCAATTATTAACTTTGAATTCTTCAGTTTCATGTGTTCATCTTCTCTTGATCAGTCATAGGAAATGGTCAACTCTGGAGTTAATATTGGTTGAGTCCTATATCGTTAATATTAGTTTTATCCTCTTTTGGAACTAGGGAAAATATTGGTAACTAAAAGTGATACAGTTGCACTTGTACTCGAATAATAGAAGTACAGCTTTTATTATGAGTAGTTTCTGCCTTTCTGGATTCTTGGTATTACTTTTAGCTTGTAGTAATACTAATATTTGCTCCAAGTACTGTTTGTTTTTGACCTTTAGTCTGTGCTCAAAAGTTTGAACTAGATCAAACTGATATAGAATCTCTTTCGTAGTTTTCATGTAAAGGGACAGAAAGAGAATAACACGGAGTTAGCTTTAGGACATAGGGGATCTTTTTGTCTTTACAAGTAGTTATATATGTGTATATTATATTACATGTAAGTTTTATACTTGCCTTTAACATTCTGTTCAACTGCATTGAACTGTACCAAACATGTTGGCAATCAAATAATAATAGTTTTACACTGAATTCACGTGACAGATCTACTTGTAGGATTGTTTATACACACCATTTTGAAGCTAAGAGGGGTGCCTGAGAAACTATGCACCTCCTCTATGATGGTATGGCTTTTTAATCCTTTCACCTTCACCATTGGCACCCGTGGGAATTGTGAGCCCATTGTCTGTGCTGTGATTCTGTGGATCATTTTGTGCCTGATGAACGGTACAATTTCTATCCATTTTGATTTACTCATTTGTAGAATCTTTCTTGTAATTGCTCACGTGTTGATCTAGATATCTGTTTCCATGGCATGTGTGTCAAGTAAATTTAGCAATGCTAGACGGAAAAATTATTTGATAGGAACTTGTACTGATGTGAAAAGGCAGAATATCTGTAGATATTTGGAGGTACCATTAACAGTTGAATTGGGCCAATTGGCAGTTTCACTAAATTACTGAAATCAAAGAAAGGTCATGCATTGAATGCATAAGAACCTCTAAAAGGAGAAAAGAAATGGAACAAATTACATGAGTTTGGTCTGAATACTGTGCTTTACATGTAGGTGAACCCCATAAATGCGTCTGTTTTGTGAACTTTCCACCTTTTGAAATTCCTACAAAGCCAGCCCTGAATTTCAGTTTTTCTCTGCTATTGTAGGAATGATTTTTATGCATCTTGTCCTATGCCATCAATACTTACATGCAATTACATTCAAACGATTTTCTGCATTCAAACTCTTATTCTGCATTTTCACTTTTCTCTATCATGTGAAAAAACTTTCATTGGAGCACATGCGACTGGCTGCACCCAATTAGTGCACGGTATACTGCATCAATCTTCATGCATGAAAGTATAAAGGTAAATATGAAAAACACAATAACAAATATACGGAAACAAAGATAGAGGTACGGGAACTCTAAAGTAGCTTATAAAGCTTCAATCTTCATATGCCCTATAACTTGGAAGTCAGATAATGTGAGGGATTAGAGAGAATGATCTGCATTTTATGGCTTGGGATTTCAGTGATATATAACTATCAGTCTTATCACCTGCATTTTATTGGCTTGGACATGCACCTTCACTTCAAGGAAAAAATTTAGTTTCCAATTCATTTTTTCTTTTTCTTTTTGACCTTTTCCTATGTGAATTCGATTAAAAAATTGGCATTTTAATTTGTCTACCAATGTCTTGGATGCAGACCAGCTGGTGCAAGCTGCATTTTGGTATGGGCTCGTTGTTCATCTGAGAATATATCCTATAATTTATGCACTGCCCATAATCTTAGTTCTTCGTCCCCTTCACTTCCAGCCCAGTAAAAAGCCTGCCCTTGTGGACTGGAGCTCTAGAAAATTGAAGTCGCTCCATGGCTCTAGCAAATTGAGATTTACTGATTTACAATATATTCAGGTCTTTTTGACAAGCATTTTTAATTGGAGGAGACTTGTGTTTGGGCTTGTTTCTGGATCTACCTTCTTCATCTTAACTGGATTGTGTTTCTACTTTTATGGATGGGATTTCTTGGACGAGGCACTGCTATACCATCTCACTCGTACAGACCCAAGACACAACTTTTCAATATACTTTTACCACATATATCTCCACTATGAACAAGAGTTCTCAAGCCTGGAGAAGCTCATCTCCTTTCTACCTCAGTTTGTTGTGCAGCTAGCTCTCATCTTCCGCTTTGCATATGACTTGCCATTCTGTTTCTTTGTGCAAACGCTAACATTTGTAGCATTCAACAAGGTATATAAAAACATATAACCTTATCTTATTTTTACTCTCCGAGTACTAACATGCATTGCCTCGTATTCTGCTTAATCTTATTACAGGTAATAACTGCACAGTATTTTGTTTGGTTCTTCTGCCTATTGCCTCTAATACTACCATGGAGCAACATGAAGCTAAAGTGGAAAGGCATATCCTGCATCTTTTTGTGGATGGGAGGTCAAACTCATTGGTTAATGTGGGGTTATTTGCTGGAATTTCAAGGCAGGAATGTCTTCATTCAGCTATGGATAGCAAGTTTACTGTTCTTGGCTGTTAATACTTATGTTCTTATTAATATTATCCACGACCATGCATACTGCCCTGTGTTCAAAGAGTTAAATGTAGAAAAATCAAACAAAACAAGGAAACATGACTAGGATATTTTGTTTTGAAATATTAGAGCTCCAACAGTATAGCGAAACTGAGTAGGTTATTGGGTTTGTCCGTTGTAGTTTCTATGAAATAAATGGTTAAATTTAAATGTCGACTTTGATTTAAATTTTAATTCAATTTTTTAGCTGAAGAAACATCGGCTTAACATTATTTTGTATTGAATATAAATGTAAAAGTTACTACTTTATGAACAAAAATAAAGTCTAGAAAACTACTTGAGCGACACTGATTTACTGAGAGTTTGTTTGAGAGGAATTAAAATCCAATTAAAATTGAAAATATTGTCGTTATTGGGTCTCACTCGTCTAATAAAAGTCAACAATAACGATTAGTTTTTTCAATTTTAGTCTGATTTTAATCTCTACCAAACACACTCTGATTCTTTTACTTGTACTAATATTTTTTTTTATCCCATTTATCACTGTATTTGATTCTAGTGAGGTTATGATCTTCAACGCACATAAACGGAGTCTATAATTGTACGAAAATAAAAAAAATTACATATCATGTAATTTTATAATAAAAAAATTAAAAAATTTAGGGACGCAGTGTGTGATATGACTTATACGCACAAACAAACGCGGATGTAATATGATATGCAATTTGTAATTTGAATTATAGAAAAATTACAAGTAAATCTTTATATCGCAATGTGTAATTAGAGTTTTGGCATTTGTACATAAAAAAGCTGCTCACTGTGTTGATGGATCATTGATTGGTGGAAAAATTGTCTTATTTTTTAAATAGGCCAATGATATGATGTCAAGAAAGTGTAAGAATTTCTATACAAGTGGGGCGGTTCTTGTAATTCACACTTAACTAACATTTTCAAAAAATAAAATAAAAGTAGCATTTATTTGAACAATATTAAGGCCATGTGTAAGTACTTTATAATAATTTCAACTATCGGTACAATGTTAACACGGTTCGTCTTGGAATTTATTGCAATGCTTTACAACATCTATTACAAGATTGAATCATTCCTCCAAACATCAAATGATTCGAGTTTTGAACATAATGGATGGTATTGTGATCAGCAAATTTCAACTACCCGACACTTCAAGAAATAATGGGAATAATGGGCTACATTGACAAAAAAAAGGAAGGGAAATCACTCGATGCTTCTTCTAAAATGACTTCTGTCATATTCGTAAAGAGCAAATGATTCATGAATTTCGATAGATTTTCAAAGAAGACCTTACTTTCACACCCATATTGGAAGATGATATATACGACATTTCCTTGTCTTGATGTGTGCATCATCTGCATTGAGTTTTTGCAGTAAAAATCATTATCCCCAAACAGAGCCTTGTCCTAATTTTCAATTATTTCCATCTCCTTATTAAACAAAAAGGAAACTGAACTAGAATAAATGTTACGAATTCGAATTCCCTGCCAACACTTCCTCGATCGAGTCTGTCGCACCAGATTTGCCTAGTGTGGTTTCCCTCTTCTGTGTAGTTTACGGGCTACGGCACATGAAGCGGAATTTACTTAGTGCACACTCAAAGTGGTTGAGCTCCTCTAATGGGTAGTGGCTGCGGGTAAAAAAAAAAAAAAAAAGAAGGAAACTGAACTTAAATAAAATAATATTAAATAATTAATTCTTAATATAAAACATATTTATTCTTCCCTTGTGTAACACCGTATAGTGTAATTTCGATGTCCAACACAATTTACCAGATTTTCGCTCCCAATTAAAGCCAATCGCCGCCGGAGCTGCCTGAGAATAGAAATTTTCGGCCAGTCATGATGCGACACCGTTTACACATTCTTCTGTTCTTTTTTTTGTCATCCGTTCTCCTCTCGAGTTGGGTGCATAATAATGTAGCAAAGGCTGAGGTTATAACCCTAGCCACCGATACTTTCGACGACAAGGTAAACAATTAAAGACTCGCTTCATAAATTATTCTCATAGTAATAGATCATGGATCTATATTTCGTTTAAGGTATTCTTTGGGTTAATAGATATGATTTTATGCATTTTTTATATAGTGATGATGTGGGTTTTTTGTATTTTGTTCACCTTGATTCTTAAGTAATTTATGATGAAATTCACTTGTTTTTTACCGTGCTGCAAGAAATTGAGAGTTTTTGTAATTATGTTTAATAAAGAAAAATGAGTTTAGTAAGAAAGCAGAGCATTTCAGGGATTAATTGTGTAGCAAAAAATATTTGCATTGGATCGATGGATTAATGGTCACTTTTTGTCCTCGGTGTCAAATTTGTAATTTTAGCCCGATTCTGGCAGCTAAAGTAGCAATTCCTATCATAGGTATTATCCATCATTCCAATTTGTATTCAATAAATTTCTCGTATGTGATGATAGATGAAATGGAAAAAAGCAACATTCAGGGAGATATAGAAACGAAAAGAGGCAAAGATTCTCGCTATAAATGTAACTTTAATAGTCTATCTTGTGCATCTCATTTATGCATTGTTTAACAATTTAACGGTGTCTATATGGTTTCATTTAGGTGAAGGAGAAAGATACAGCATGGTTCGTGAAATTTTGTGTCCCTTGGTGTAAGCATTGGTAATTGTTTATCTTTTGTTTCCTGCTTCAGTATGTTCAGGCACATCTGCATCTGTGGAAATCCAATATAAGAAATTCTTGGCATAATAATTGTTGAAAATTTCTTTCAGTAAGAACTTGGGGACATTATGGGAGGATTTAGGAACGATAATGGAAGGCGAGGATGAAATAGAGATCGGAGAAGTTGACTGCACAACAAATAAACCAGTGTGTGCAAAAGTTGATATTCATTCATATCCTACATTCAAACTCTTCTATAATGGAGAAGAAGTTGCAAAATACCAAGGTAACTGATATTAGCCCACAAGGATCATGCACTTACTATTTTTTTAACTGATTTCTATGTGTGTTATAATTGCTTGTTTTTCCACAAGGATCTTTTACTTACATTTTTTCACTGATTTATGCATGGTTTGTACTTGCTTGTTTTTTCCCTCAAGGATCATTTACTCACAGATTTTTAACTGATTTGCACGGTTTATAAGTGCTTAGCTGTAGTAATTTTATTGAAGTAAGAATTTGAACATTGAGCTTTCTTATCTTTATTGCTATAGCTGTTTCATGCCCGTGGTTTCTATCAGCCTTAAATTCTGATACAAGTCTCTTACCAACTGTTCTAGGAGCATACTATTTATAGCATCCCACTCCCATTTTGTTACTCCCTCTCTCCCATAAAGATAGTCATGTTTTCTTTTTTCATGTGTCTCGAATTATAATCTTGTTTCTTACTTGAGAGTGTAGTTAATATATTAGTCTCCTAATATGCCCATATTTAATGTGCTTTGTTATCATAAATATAAATCACTCAATTATTCAATTGTAATTAAAACAATAAAAAAAAAACACATTTCATCTTCCATGTCATTTATTCATTTGTATTTGTATTGGATGACTTTGGAATGTTAATTACCTTGATTCTTGTATTAAACAATAATTAATACCAATAGTTTAATTACCTTGCTTATTGCATGCATAATTAATTACCTCGAATATTGATTTAGGGGTATATTAGAAAAAATGATAGTGAAATTTATTATTTCAGCTATATTAACTAAATTTTCTTAATCTGTGTAAACAAAGAAATAGCACTATCTTTATGTGACGAAGAGAGTACTTGGTACTTAAAAGACTATCGAGGGAAAAGTAAGAATGAGAACAAAAGAATTCAGCACCAAAAGCCTTGAACTCCCTGAGGTCCCTTAATGTGTGTACAACGTTTTGAGTAAAGCAGTTTCGATAATTCTTAGGTTTTACTGAATTCTCATAATGAACTAAATATTTGCTAGTGGCCATTCCTGTGCAATGATTCCTGAGAGTCCCTTCACTTATTATTATTTCTTCTCTCACGATTTTCAGTATTTAGATTTGACCATTGGAAAAGCTTATTTATGGCATGATAAACCATCTTGTAATGTTTTTGTGTCAGTTCTGCAATCCCGATGTATCTCTCCCTCTCTAAACCCTGCTTCCTTTTGGAGATCTTAATTCTGCTTTAATAAATCAAAACATTTTTATTAATTACTTATCAAAAAAAAAAAAAAATCAAAACATTTTTATTAATTAGGAGGCAGAAAGGTGCATACAATAGGTAAAAAAAATGAAGAAAAACAGAGAGCCTTACTCAGCTTTAGCAAGAAATGTGTGTATCCAGATGTCTATACAAGTTGGAATGGCCTTTGAACTCCAAAACAAAATATTGAGAGCAAAGTGTTTTTGTTTTTATAAATTGAACTCTCTACTCCATCAACGGCCCTACAATTGTGTTCTCGGAACCCCGTGTAACATGGGAGCCACCTTTCGTGATACTGCTTGTGGCCCTTGTTTATTCTCTCCTGTTATCCAGCAGCTCTTTGACCTTGTAGCATCACACAATATACAAAGCTCCAAAGGTGCGCCGCCTCAGTGCTAGTACTTGATCAGTTAGGTAACTGATTAACATCGTCTCCTATTTTGCCTACAGGTGCCGAAGTTAATACTTCTGGACATTCTTATGGGATCACCCCTTCAAATGCCTCTTTAGCTGTCGTGCTATCTTAATTCAGTTTTTAAGGAAAATGATCTATCAAACCTGAAAACACTAGACTGCAACAATTTCTGCATCAACATATTTGCAAAGTCGAATAGTTGATTCCACGGTTCTACAAAGTTTTTCAAAAATGCAAATTCTGAATTGCAAAGCCAGAGGATGCTCTCAATAGTTCAGTATGCATTTTATTACATGCCATCCTTAGGAGCATTAAGTAACTAATAACGAAAATGAGCTCCTAAGCTTATAACTATGTGCGTGCAGTACTAATGCACTGGCCGTTACATGGTTCTAAAAGGGGCAACCTCTTTAACAACCTAAACTTGAAAGTGCGAGTCCCAATCAGGTTAGACTGCCTTTTCGTCTAAAGGGAGGTGGTGGTGATTAGTTTGTCATAATTTTGACAAATTCTTTACGTGTGCTTTTTTGTTTTCCTGTTGCGTAGCCTGGACTTTTTCCAGCAAAATGCCTTGAACTTCTTCAGTGCTGAAGAGGTACCTTTTTCAATATTAATCACTGCATTTCCCTGTCATTACTCTGGTTCCCCTCGTTCTCTCTGCTGCTGCATACAAACTGAAGGAGGTCACAATTGTTGAGCAAAGATTAAGGAGATAATACTTCGATCTTTGTCTTATTTTTAAGACAGCAGCAAAAAAAATTAACTCTTTCTCCAATAAATTTTAGGTCGGTTTCATGACATCTTTTCTGCGACAATGTTTAGTTCAATGCTAACGGAGTGACATTGCTTGATCTACACAAAGATCTTGCACAGTCTCTTCCGTTAAATTAAGGGTTCGTATTTTTTTTAATATTGTTACTAAAACCAAGAATTGCACTCTCCTCCGCTGTCAACTGATGTAATTGAAATCAACTTTCTTTTAAGAACGAATAATTGAAATTGCTTTCATTCTATAAGCTATAAATGTAAAGCTATAGAAATTTTGCATTTACCAGATCTAACTTGCTTCTCCCAAAATTGAATATCATAGGACCCAAGGATGTTGAGTCGCTCAAAGCATTTGTTTTAGAAGAAGCAGAAAAGGCAGCTACAAGAGCTCAACTTGAGAATGATGGCGAGCTGTAACAAATTTTACGGGTAATTCTGTCGGCATTAGTTTGTTTTCCTATTACATCATCAGGCTAGGTCAATATTCTTCTTCCTATCTCGCATAATGAGGGTGAAGAGTATAATATTTTTCCCCACCTCATGAATTTTTTTTGCAAAAATAGCAGCTATACATATTTATGCTTTGAAAATTTTAACCATGGATATGTATATTCAAGACAATAAGCTACCATATGTGGACAAGTTAATTTTATACTTATATATATGTTTTTCAATATTTTGGTGCAGTTGAACTTCTTACTTGAAAGATCTTGTCCTTGATGTCAAAAGCAGGGTTACATTTGATGGACGCCCCCCAAGTTATTTATCTTGGAAATCCTATCACATCACATATGCATAGATGATTTTTCTTTCTGTGAGGCATGTTATACAAATGCGACGAACTTATTCGGGAGTTCATTTGTTGTATAATAATTGCGCAGCTAATTATTGTTTTGATAAGAATCAACATTGACATTTTGTTTTGGTAATTTCACCTTGTTGAAGATACATTTCTCAATGAATCAATCACTTGAGCTTCATGTTGAGGGATTGAATTTGCCCTCCACATTTATTATGGGTTTAGACTGTTTAGTTATATTGTTGCACTCTAGAAATAAGAAGATATGCAAGTGTTAAATGTGATTTGTTTTGTTTCTCTTGGGAAACAAAGGATCAAATAATAAGAAAGAAAGTGTTATTTCATGCTTGAAAACTTCTAGTTGTCGTGGTTGGGTCACTATATTTTGGAAGAAGTGTTACAAGTGAAAAACTTACTGTCATTGCTTTTCCGAGAACAATTGAAGAACAGCAATGACCTACAGCCATCTTACAAGATCAATTGAAAATTCTTTTTACTTGCAAACTGAAAATTATTAGGATAATTCTATTTGAGTAGGGCCACGTGGCCCCCACCTATAGAGGGCGCCACTCGGTGCCCGTGTTTGAAAAGGGCTAGGCCTTGTTCAAGTAGCATCACCTAAATAATTATGACTCGAGTTTTTCGGTTGTATCACTTCTTTTAGGTCATTTTTATGGCCACATAGGATGGTGAAAAAAGTCATATCAATGTCCTATTTAAAAGGTTAAAGACTAATTTGCTCATTGTTAGGGCGTGTTTGATGTAAATTTTTTTATCAGACTTTGTAAAAAGTAATTTATTATTGTTATTGTTATTATTATTATTATTATTTTTGAATCTATTGTCATAAATAAAAATAAAAAAGTTATGTATCCATATGTAAAATTATTTTATTGTAAAAGAATTTGTACCAAGGGCTTAAATGTTGGGAATCAAAATAGAAAATAAGTTGAGGACAAATGTAGTCCAGAAAGTATATTTGGAAAGAACATTTGTTTAATTAAATTTTCTTATATATACAGTCAGAAAAATATGTTGATGGTATTTCTCCTCTTTCCATCAAATTAAAATTTGTTTACTTGAAAAGAAAATACATAGAGAGGATGAAAAGAAAGGAAAAACGGGAAAAGGAAATAAATAAATATATTTTAGAATAGTAATTTTTTTTGTAGAATGTGTGATTAAAAAGTAATAATTTTTTTTTGATTTTACGTGTAATATTATTTTATTGAAAATAATTTTTAAAAAATGTATTTTTGGTTTAATGGAGCAAAACAAGGGCTAGTCTCATTTTCTAAAATTTGGGCGCATTAGGAACTGTTGGAACTTCTTTTGTTTTTGCTTTTGTTTCTTGTAGAAAGCTTCCTTGAGAAAGTTATCTTACGTTATCTTTTTCTAAAAAAAAAAATTTAATCAGAAAATACATAACTAAAAATTATTCAAAAATGTTCAACATAACATATTCATTAGAAAAGCAAATTTTAAATTTTCAAAAACCTTGACAAACGACCCGACATTAAAACGAGTATGGCCTCCACAAAGCTATTGTGAGCTAATTGCAAAAACATTTAGCAGCCTTCAATTTGAACAAATACATTATTTACCATAAAGCAAATCCAAAGGTGCTAAATGAAGTTATAGAACTATCAATCTTTGCAAGGGTCGTCGGATTTGGTGTTTAAATTGACTGCCCATCATTTTTCTTCTCTGTCCACTAGTCACAAAGTACCAATTTGTTAAAAATAGTCGTTTCCGAATATTTATAGAGCACCTTTTCAACCCAATTTGTTATACCCTCTGAAATGAAAATTACGCGGCCAAAGGCAAGAGTATCAATCTGGCAATAATTCAAATGCCAGACTTTGAAGAAAAACAGACTTAAAAAGTAAAACAGAATAAAATATTCGTTGGAACATATAGGCCTACAACTCATCTCAAGCAATAATTAAAAAGAAAAAAAGAAAAAAAAATGGCAATACAGATAGAGCACCTGTTTAAACCATAATAATCAAAACTGCAAAAGATGTCTTGAAAATAACTAATTTGATTAACAAAAACCATATCATCCAACCGGAATTTTCTTCACTTGGCACCCTTCTTAGCAGCAGCTTTGGTGACCTTGGCACCAGATGGATCCTTCTTGTCCACACTCTTGATGACACCGACAGCAACTGTCTGGCGCATATCTCTGACAGCAAAACGACCAAGAGGTGGGTACTCGGAGAAAGTCTCCACAACCATGGGCTTGGTGGGAATCATCTTAACAAGACCAGCATCACCGTTCTTCAAGAACTTGGGCTCCTTCTCCAGCTCCTTACCAGAACGCCTGTCAATCTTGGTCTGCAGCTCGGCAAACTTAACAGCAATGTGGGATGTGTGGCAGTCGAGCACTGGTGCATATCCATTTCCAATCTGACCAGGGTGGTTCATGATGATGACCTGGGAAGTGAAGCTGGCAGCACCCTTGGCAGGGTCATCCTTGGAGTTGGAGGCAACGTAACCACGCTTGAGATCCTTCACGGCAACATTCTTGACGTTGAAGCCAACATTGTCACCAGGGAGAGCCTCCTGGAGGGCCTCGTGGTGCATCTCAACAGACTTGACTTCAGTTGTCAGACCAGTTGGGCCAAAGGTGACAACCATACCAGGCTTGATAACACCAGTCTCCACACGGCCAACAGGTACAGTTCCAATACCACCAATCTTGTAGACGTCCTGAAGTGGGAGACGGAGGGGCTTGTCTGAGGGCCTCTTTGGCTCCTGAATCTGGTCAAGAGCTTCAAGGAGGGTTGGGCCCTTGTACCAATCAAGGTTGGTGGACCTCTCAATCATGTTGTCACCCTCAAAACCAGATATGGGAACAAATGGGATCTTGTCAGGGTTGTATCCAACCTTCTTGATGTAGGATGACACTTCCTTCACAATTTCATCATACCTGGGCTTTGAGTATTTAGGTGTGGTGGCATCCATCTACGTAATACAGAATAATGTGTCATCGTTAGAAATGAAATTGATCACAGACAACCAATAAACTATAATCAATAATGACTCGATGATTTTAACCATAGAAGTAGATTCACCTTGTTGCAGCAGCAAATCATTTGCTTGACACCAAGGGTGAAGGCAAGCAAAGCATGCTCACGGGTCTGACCGTCCTTGGAAATACCAGCTTCGAAACCACCAGTGGTAGAGTCAATGATAAGGACGGCGCAGTCAGCCTGTGAAGTACCAGTAATCATGTTTTTGATGAAGTCACGATGTCCTGGAGCATCAATAACCGTGCAATAATATTTGGTTGTCTCGAATTTCCACAAGGCAATATCAATGGTGATACCACGTTCACGCTCAGCCTTGAGCTTGTCAAGCACCCAGGCATACTTGAATGACCTTTTGTTCATCTCAGCAGCCTCCTTCTCAAACCTTTCGATGACACGCTTGTCAATACCACCAAGCTTGTAGATCAAATGGCCAGTGGTAGTTGACTTTCCAGAGTCGACGTGGCCAATGACCACGATGTTAATGTGAAACTTTTCCTTACCCATGTTGAACTTTTAAATAGAAAACTGCCACGAACAATTGTTGGTGTCAGTTTGCACAAGCATCAAAATTATATCAACAATGAAACTAAAGATAATTTCAAGAGCTAAAAAACACACACTAACTTCTGCGAGTCAAAACAACTCAAATCAGTCACTAAATGATAATTAGAAATTTATTTATAGCAGTTAATTTTTCAAAATGACCCATTCATGTTATGTACAAAAATACAGGATATTGAAAAGCAAAAAAAAATTACTACCGGAAATTAATATCTGCAAGTTATATACAATATGTAAAAAATAACAACAGATAGACCAATACTCTAAAACAATGATTTTAAGGCTCAAATATTTCTAAATTTAATGAACCAGAAGATAAAAAATTACAAAGATCTAAGATATCTAAAGGTCTAAATCGTTTAGACGTTTACCATCTCTTTATATGTTTATCATTAGGGTGAATTGACTGAATTCTATGTGCTTATGTAATTATGTAAACACAGGTATATAATACATAACAGGAATTTCTTCACTTACACTGCAAACATGCCAAATAGGAAAGAATTTAGCAAATCAATTGTTATATATAGTTAGCACATCAAATTTCGGGTCTTCATAACTCTATTTAACGAGTACATACACGAAAAGTTATAGTAGATCGTCGATTCAACTAATTTACGAATCTAATAATTAACAGCACAAATTTGTTATATATATATATTCAAAGTAATACAGATCAAAACATAAAAACATACACTTCCACAAATATATAACAAATCTATTACATATATTCCAAACAATAAATATTAACTCACATACTTGTATATATAAGTAGAGAAAGAGATTACCTTTGAATGTAGTTTAGAGAGATCTCTCGCCCGCCGACTGCCGAGAGAGAGTTTAGATTGCTGTGAAGAGCGAGACAAATCGAAATAGAAAAGTGGGTTATATATGGAGTTCAATTGCTGTGGCCGTTTTAGGGTTTTTCATGAGCCGTTGGATAAAATAATCTGACGGCTTAAAATGGGAAGGTCTTTTGGTCACCCGCGGATTCCAGTTGGATGAGACTATAGATGTCCATTATGTGCTCACTATGCCATTCCAACACTTTTATTTTCACTACAAGTCCTTAATGTTTGCTAATTATCGAAATTATGTACCCAAATTTTTTTTATCGCAATTTTGTCTTTAATATATTCTATTAATTAGCACATTAACCCGTCCAAAAATTTTGTCATGAGGGTTCAAAGATTTATTTGTCCTAATGTTTGGTAATTATCGAACTTACGTACCTGATTTTTTTATCGCATTTTTATCTTTAATATATTCTATTAATTATCACATTAACCCGTCCAAAAATTAATGAGAAACTTAATGATCTCTCTCTCTCTCTCTAAATGACAAATTAGTAAAGTTTATTGTCATCTACCTAAACTGATGATAAACACTAGTAATGTTACGTAGCAATACTCGACTTGAAAACGCTGCCATTCGGTTGTCAAAATGCAATACCTCAATTTAGATAATCCATGAGAAGGGGGCTATCCATTAATGGGTCGAGAAATAAATAAGTGCAATTTATTGCAACCTCAAAAGAGACAGAGGATCAAGAAAACAACATCAAAATGTTGACACAAAAGAAAGACAATCTGAAAATAGATTCAAGCCTTCCCCAATACTATCAACTTGCATATTAATCAAACCCCATGATCATTTTATTGCCAAATCTCCTAATCATATATGGTACCAATCTGAGACTTCTCCATCTCCACTTCCATTGTCTCCTCCACTATCTTGTCCGGTGGTGCAAGGGAGGCCGATGGCAAGATAATCGACTCCCTCTACGAGTCAAGTATCTTGTTCAGCCTTTCCTCGTTCACTCCAAATGCATTTGCAAATTCAGGCCCTTTCATAGTCCGCAACAATGAGTTCGTCTCCAACAAGAACTGAGGCTGATTCTGGCGCGGAGATGTGGTGAAATGGAATAACTCAAAAGGGCCAGATCTCGATGCAATTTGGCATAACGGGAAGTATCTTGGAACAAAGATGGAGATAGGGGGCGATCGCCCCCTCAACATTGTCCGCTAGTCCACTATTCCTAATTAATTTGTAATGTATTTTTCAGTTTCGCCTCCCAAAAAATTTTGACTCGCCCCTACAAAATTTTGAAATTTTTTTTCCATTAATAAATATTGACCCAATCACTTACACTTTAAACTTCAATCACACAAAAAATTTTAGACTTAAACAAAAGATCCAAAAGTTACTTAAATAAATAAATAGCCCAAATCCAATAGATATGTGCCAACTGTTAACATTGACAAGAAAATCAATGAATTATAATCTTGTTGATAAATTGATTCGTCTTGTCTTGACTCTTTCAGTTTCAACAGCAACTACAAAACATGCATTTTTATCTATAAGTGTCAATAAGATAATGTTGCGTAATATAATGGAAGATGATTTTTTTGTCCAGTGCCATGCTTGTGTATACAGAGAATGAGATTGTTGATACTTTTCCATTAGATTCTCTTATTGACGAGTTTGAAGTGATGAAAACAAGGAGAAACTAATTCCAGATGTCCAAGCCATCTCTACCACCTGTTATATAGATAGGTAGATTATTTTTTGTCCTTTTGATGTCCATTTAACGTTCATGTTTTCAATTTGTATAGCGTTAGACACATAGATGGATATATTGTTTTNCCCCCCCGTCTTTTCCCCCCCCCCCCCCCCAAGATTGAAATCATGACTACGTCCCTGTTTTGGAATCCAAAACACGTTACCTTTGGTTACTTTGGCATTCATGACTAGACTTCCATTAGGATACACATTTTGAATTGTACCGGCTCCTCTCATTACAATGCCATACTCAATCGCCCTTGGATCGACGTGTGGTGTCATCATCGAGCCCTACATTTGATCAACCACATAGTTTGAAGCAATCAAATGCAATGTGCATGGTACACGTTAGTGGACAAGACAGGAAATTATGAGGTGTTTTTCAATCGTGCACAATCTAATCAACATGAGCACATATAATATTACCAAAAGTATCGACCAAGGCCTACTGCGGAGAGATTGACAAGATAATGCTAGTATCCGATTGGCCAAGAGGCGAGTAATCAAACTCGTCCAAAGCAATGCTGCATCCATAATTGTTCTTAAAATCAAGCTTTCTGTCATAGATATTATAAGAATTGGGCCCTTAACTTTTTTTGTCGACTTTCTTCTTTTCTGCCTTTCCAAATACAGAGGTCAAAAGCTTCATGAATCACCATTTTGGTTGTTTTTTTCTTCACTATATTTTTCCTTCAAATGAACAACTCTCTTTAAGTACGCCAGTTTTTCCTGATGCTCAAGCCCCCCAAAACCCGGCCCATTGATATGTGCGCGTATGCATGGATGACTGGAAGACCCAGTCCACGCCAATAACAGAAAACCATGTAGTGGCTGCTTAAAAATAGCTCATGTGATTTATTTATTGTTTATTGTTAGTTGAATTGTTATTCCTTAATTCTAGATTAGTTTGTTGATTTACTTGATTATCAAGATGTAATTGATCTATAAATAACCATTATCAATTAATCAATAGGGCAACAATTACATCATCTATCAGTTCTCTTCTCATCTCTTCCATTCTCCAAACTTTTTCCCTCATAGAAATTCACTTATCATTGGTATCAGAGCCAAGTTAACTATGGCTACTCAAAATCAGTCCAATGCGGAGTTCCGAAATGAAGTTCATGAAATATTGGGACGCCATGAATCTAGTATTGATGAAATACGCACTACGCTGCAGACAGTTTTGCAAGAACTGCAATCCCTGCGAGCATCACAAATTCCTCATGTCAATAACCTAGACACAAACCCGTTCGCCCCTGAATCATCTCATCCCTTTGACTGACCTTCAGCCAGTCACTCTCAACCATCTCAAACTCACATTTCCAAAATTTGATGGAGAAGACCCCACCGGATGGATCAACAAGTCTTACTTGCCTCTTTTCACCTTGAGGGACTTGCTCTCTAATGGCATCGATGGTACTCCAAGTTTAAAGAACCAATGACCTGGACATAATTATCCAGGGCATTGTTACTACGCTTCTGACCAACGGATCATGAGGACCCCTCTGAAGCACACGGTCGACTCAAGCAAACAGCTAACGTCACAGCTTACCAAGAAGCTTTCAAGAAATTATCCCACCGAGTAGATGGTCTGCCGGAATCTTTTCTTGTTGGATGCTTCATAGCTGGATTACTTGACGAGATAAGGCTTGACGTAAAAATCAAACAGCCTCGAACACTTTCAGATGTCATTGGTGTTGCCGGGTTAATAGAAGACGGAAACTTTTTACAAAGAAAACCAGCGAGCTTCTCTCGTCAACCTGTGCTTGGCCATCAACCAAAATTAGGGCCTAATAATTCAGTTGGGGTTCTTAGCCCCCCACTCGTGCTTAAGGCGGGAACCGGCACCAACAACAATAACGTCCCCTTCAAGAGAATCACAAGCCAAGAAGACCGAGAGCGGAGAGAAAAGGGGTTATGCTATTATTATGAGGAAAAATTCTTGCATGTTCATCGGTGTCAACGACCTCAGCTATTCATGATGGAAGATATAATAGACCCATAAGAGGACTTGCAAGATGTTGAGCACCAGGCATCAATTACAGGAGATTTGGTGCCAGCAATTTCTTTCCACGCCATTGCTGGAACTGAACATCCCCAGACAAACGACTCCAAGGCGAGTTGAACCAAAAAAGGTATTTGATCTAACATCCTACCAAAACTAGAAAAGTTACTTGATCAACGTGTCATCCAAAAAGGGAATTACTGCCCTAAGACAAAGGTACTCATCAAATGGGCAGGAGCTCCAGAAGAAGGTGCTACTTGGGAGAATTTATGGACGTTTCCAGGACAATACCCGGGCTTCATCCTTGCGGACAAGGATACTCTGGGCGGGGAGGAATGATATGTGCACGTATGCATGGATTGCATGGATGACTGGAAGACCCAGTCCACGCCAATAACAGAAAACCATGTAGTGGCTGCTTAAAAATAGCTCCTGTGATTTATTTATTGTTTCTTGTTAGTTGAATTGTTATTCCTTGATTCTAGATTAGTTTGTTGATTACTTGATTATCAAGTTGTAATTGATCTATAAATAACCATTAGCAATTAATCAACAGGGCAACAATTACAACATCTATCAGTTCTCTTCTCTTCTCATCTTATCTCTTCCCTTCTCCAATCTTTTTCCCGCATAGAAATTCACTTATCATATGTTCGGGGAATGAGAATTGGACAGAGAAATTATTGGACCAGCTTCTTGCTCGTCAACAATTTCTTTAATTTGGCTACAGAAACCTGTTGAATTCACATCATTAGGCATTACAATCTTGATGAAAGTGAAATAGAATGTGATCGTGATGCTAGAATTCTTACTCACATTGAATGCCGTTGACAGCATTAAGGGATCAAAACCTGAAAATATTGACATTGGATATGTTCCTCCACAAATGAAGAAAAACTGCACCATACAAATAAGCACAATCAGAAAGAAATCCGAGAAATGACGATGCATTAGTTAAACTTCTGTAGACAGGCCGATTCAGTTCAATATCTCAAGGGAATCAAAATGGGCAAAGCAAACCAATAAACATAATTATAGCAAAATCTACGTCCACTTGCCACGGCAAGTTTTCCCTAAAATCGAGGAGAAGATTACAATGAATCATCTAAAAACGTCCCCTCAAGTTGCTTCGTATCGAGGGGACAAGCAAATAGTATAATTAGACTCCACATAGTCCCACAAAAAATAAAGAATCAGAATGAATCATCGTATATTTCTCAAAACAAATGAAAAGCGAAATGAATGCTTGGTGAATGAACTCGGAATGTGTGCCATCCCACGCTCTCGGATGAGTCAATACTACGTATTGTATGTAGTGTCTGGCCTTCTTCTGTATTAATAATATAAAAAGCCGAGCCTGCTTCAATTCTATAGATGTCTCCATCCTTTAAGCGCTTTTCAACCAATGCATCGTTGTAGATATGTTCAATTCTTGCTTCCCTTGGATTAAATTCGATACAATTCAAATGTTCATCAATCAATAACCAATTTAAGATAATTAAAGCTCTAGATATTATTCTTCTGCTATAGCTCTTTCATTGAAAGGCAAATCCCGTTGCCACTTTGCTTGGCGTCGTTCCCTAAATAATGTCTTTCTCTGGTGCTAGAAAGTTAGGACTTTCTCCGGGTCAATCCACCCCTTGGAACACCAAAAAGGTTAAACAAAGAAGGGCCTAAAATGTATTTATAATGACATTTGCTTGATTTTCATCAATGGACAATTCAATAATAAGATAACAGCACATAGCGTATCTTAATCTTTGAAGCAGCAAACTATTTGCAACAATTAAGTAATCAACATGAGCGCGCACTTCCACATGTTTCAATTAAGTAATCAACATGACCGCGCACTTCCACATGTTTGGTACTCAATTCTGGACACACCAATACAAATTTCTCCAACACAATCTTATCGAGTACTATTTAATTTATCTCGACCGCGTCTAATTTTTTTGACTATTTTTTGATTTGTGCATGTCATCCTTCCGCAGGGCCATGCTAATCCTCTTTGTATCGTTCCAATTTTATCTTGATTTGTGTGTTGATCCTAGTGCAATGACCGTGCAATGACCATGCTAATGTTCTCTGTCCGACAAAATTGGAACATACAGAGAAGATTAGCATGCCCCTGCATAAGGACGAATGTACCCAATAGTGTCTAGTGTGGTCTTACTTACCTCAATCATGTCGTCTAATGTATCTCAGTCCTGTCTAATCTATCTAGTGCTATCTAATCTCAATCCACTATGGTGCTATCTACATTATCTCAATTCTGTTCACTACTTACTACTATCTAATTTACGTCAATCATATCCAGTATTGTCTATTCCAACACACAAAACATGTAAATTAAAGAAAAAATGAATACCTTCGCGAATGAAGAGAATAAGACTGAAATCAAGATACTAAGGTATGAACAAACTTTTGGGCTCCATAGTAATGAACCCAATATGCATAGGACTTTTCATAAATTTGCCTCCGAAAGCTCTCACCACCCTCATATTCCCTGCATCAATCTTCACCACTTGCTTTGTATCCTGCAACAAGAGCCAGTCCACTCCTTTTGGCCGCACTGCTCCGCCCTCTTCTCCACTACCTTCACTGCCTTCTTCCTCCTTCCGCCTCCATTCATCTTCATTGCCACCCACACCTGCCACCAGTGTTGGATATTGTTCAAATTAACAATGAGGAGTGATTTTAAAAGTAATGGATGTTGTTCACCATGAGAAAAACAAGTGAAAACAAAACGAGTACAAAAAGGGTGAAGGCCGAAAAATGGCATGGCCCTTTTGTTGCAATTACAATGGGCATTTAGTTGAATTGGGCGGGCAACCGATTTTGTACTACGGGGCTCAAAAATTTGCCTATTGGGGTTTTGGATTTTGGTGTCGTCTTGAAGGGTTTTACACCCTTTTGGTTTGGTTTGGTTTTTGCACATTTTTCGTGCATGGTGATTGTAATTTTATACATGTGAGTGGTTTTCATGATTGAAAACATATCACAAATATCAAATTGACTCCATTACATCCAAAATCTAAGATCAAACCAAATTTTTATAATTTTGTTCTTTAGTTCCTTTTTTCAACTTTTGTTTGCTTGATTCAAACTTGGATTAAGGTTTATTTACTCCTACAAACTATTTGTCATAAAACTTTCAAGCACTTACCCCGGTGGCGGCAAATATCGTTTGAAGATAGCGATTCATAATCGTGTTCAAACTTTTCATTTTAGTGATTTCTTGTTGATTTTATTTTCGTTATTCATCAACTTTGTTGAACAACCTACTACACAACAGACCACAACCACTAGCAAAAACGAAGCCCTTCTCCTTCCCATTTTCAATAATTGTTTTAAACTAATTTTTCAGTCAAAAATTTGCTAGATGATTTAAAAGAGCAGTTTATGTAAATGGGAGGAGATAGAAAAAACCTCATAGGTGCCTTTCAAGCAGAATTTCATGGCATTGCCGGCATTTTCCAGGTAAAGACACAGTTGAGATACTGGGTGAAGTTTTCGGTTTAATAGTAAGACAAAGTTTTTGCATTTGCATGTTTGTAAGCTTTTTATACTTTCGCCATTGTAATGAGATCAAGACAAATTAAGTTTTATTCTTTATAAATTTAAAATTCATTAGTAAATTTTTTTCGTCACATCGTCCAATAGTTCTGTTCTCCAAAATTTATTGGAATTCATCGATATTTCAGAAAGCGCATTACAGACTTTATATAGGGGTTGCATTAACAAATCCCCCAATGACTGTATCCTGGTCCACAGTATTGAAAATAACCAAGAATGAAAGGACAAAAGAAAATATTCCTCTTTATTCATATATAGCGGACGTGCTCGAAAAGGTTCGAATGAAACCGGTCCAGAGAGGAGCTACATGAAGCCAAAACTAGTAGCCCCAATAATCATTTCGGATTTCATCATCGAATTTCTTCTTCAGTTCGGGATGCTTTGCAAAGTATTCATCCGCGGTCATTGTACTCAGTTTCCTCTGTTACACCAAGAAAAAATGTGAGATATCCCGCTATAGAGGAGACTGAGTAAGCGAGAGAAGGCAAAGACGAGATGGGTGAAGATTTATGCATGCAAAAAAGCATGTCTACATTACCTTCAGATCTTGGACATCAACAATTTCCTTTTCCAGTCTTTCCGACTCCTTCAGCGACTTCTGCTCAGCTTCTTTCAGCTCAACCAACTACAACTCGAGACAAGCAACATCAACATAAGATTCTCTAACACTCATAATGTGAAATATAGAAGAGAAAATAAAGAATTGTTAACGAGAATCCAATTAGAACTTGGAATATCTTCCCTGTGACTAGTTTAAGAGGGTAATGTTCGACAGGTAGTGTGGTGTTTATTGCTTTATGATGTACTTCTTTGAAGATTATGATGAATAAAATTATTTGGAATATAAAACAAGAAATCTTGTTTTTCATATTTAAGGTTCTGACATTCGTTTTCACTTTTTACATAGAGCAGGCCTTCAGTTGTTCAAGATGCATGGGCCGCTATTATCCCAGCAAAGGAAATGACATCTAAATTAAAAAGTTGCAGAGGTTGCGGGCAAATGAAGACGTTCTCTATCAGGCTCGGGAAATAGAAAGTGCAGAAAGAAATACAAATTTCCTGAGTTTATAAAGATTTGTGCAAAAGGTAGAAAGTGATTATGGATAGTCTTCATAATTCTTCTCACCAGAGCATCAAACTTGGGTTTGTATTGAGGAGTGACATTGTCAACATATTGTGGGATTTTAACTTCTGCAGAAAAAACCAAATCATATCATCTTTCTTGAAGTCAAAAGTAAGTAAAACGGCAGTAAATAAGGTCAACCAAATTCCCCAATAAAGGATGATTTAGAAAGAAGCTTTGTGAGCCAACCAGGGACTTTTACCTCCATGATTCAGTAATCTGCAGATTTTTCCTAATCACGTCGTCAATGAATTCCAGGGCAGTTCAGCACGAAGACACCATAAATATGACAGTTTTATAAGCTTTTTTCCCGTTTCTTTTTATGTTCCAGGATTGGGGTTAGGAGTAGCTATTTTACTTTTATAATGGTTGCATTTGCCAGTAGTCCGTATCAGAAACACTTCAAGGTGAATAAACTACAGGACCAGTTGATTGGGACTAGGATATCTTCTCTCAAGCAACAGGTATTTTAGAATTTACAGCTGACACAGATTTTGAAGAGTTGTGGTCCAATACTATGATTCAAATATCATTTTTCTATTATCTTCCCAGGCATATTATTATTTTCATACAGCAAATAGCTTGTAAAATTCAATGAGAGATAAGCAATAGGCCAAAGATCAAAGACAGCTTTACTTCAAGTTCATAGGTCCAAGACGACTAGACCGCGAAGTATAAATGAACAAGTCCAAAAGATAAGAAGAGGGAGGGAAAATGATGTATGCCAAACATGTGCTAGAATATTTTCCTCTAATAGGCAGCAGGAGAATGGTTAGGGCTAGATCTTTGGAATGTGTGGCTGGAAAATTGAGAGAAAATTGTGAATATAAAGATCTAAATATGGTAAAACAAACAACTGAGATTTTGACACAACTTGACCTTCATTCGACAACTGATGAACAGAATCAACAGTAAATTCTGAGAGATCAGGGCAGTTTTGGCGATTCTGATATTGAGAAGGGATGGGCTCTAATAATTATTCCTTTAGGTTTTGAAGAAGGATTTAGAGTGCTAAAATCATTTGACAGAAGAAAAATTATAGTAGACATTTTGAAAAACCCAACACACTCAATTTTACGTAATAATATCTAAAATTTATGATGCCCCCATTTCGTGTAGATTAAAATTTGATAAAAATCTCAAAGTCTACAATTAATTTTAACCACTCATTTCATGGGACCCACAACTTTTTAATCTTGCATTTCATCAACTTTATCAAAATATACTAAAAATCTGATTTTAATCTACACCAAACAAGGGCAACAAGGGCTAAATGAAGAGAGTGCTACTTGAACCCAAATGATCTCTTCCACTAGAACAAATGCTAGGACTACAAATATGAACTAGAAGATATATGATCTACCGCTAAATTTTGTTATGGACCAATTAGGATTTTCCATAAATCACATCATTAAACCAAAATAAGAACCACGGACGATAAAATCTTACCCATCTCCAGAATTCATTAAAAGATGAAAATATCCTAGACTCTCAAAACATAAATCCCAAAAACCTAAAATTCAAGCATTTAGTAGAATAAAATTCACCCAAAAATTCGAGTGGCTGGATCCAAGTCCTGCCATATGCAGTAGCAAGTTTGAATCACAATTTTGTTGTCCAAACTTCAAGAGTACTCCTACAACTATTGTCTTTTCTGCGTAGTCGGTTGTAGGAGTTCAGCTCGTATAATCTAAAACCATTCACAATGTTATTCTCGCTCTATATATCCAGCTTGAGCTGTGCTCACCGGGAGGCATTTGAGTTTTTCTAACTATGAAGTGACAGAAAATATGGTCTTTAGCACTGACGCAATAAAGCCAGTTCAGGAAGACTCTTGCCAATCCAGAGAAAAAAAAAAAAAAAAGAGCAAATAATACATGGAAAACACAAATAATAAAAAAGCCAGGCAACAGGCTACACATACCGTCATATGCTTGTTTATACATATCAACCAAGCGAGAGCCAATCCCTTTCCTGTAATACTCCCAGTCTACGGGTTCTGGTTCCTGCATATTCAAGAAAGTAAGATTAGTTTGAAAGGTCCACTCTACATGTATTCCTTCTACTTTGGACCATAAACATACACTAGAAAAAATGGCAGTGAATCATATTAAAAAATCTAATAGTCCCCGTATATTAAAAAATCTAATAGTCCCCTTAATAAGCTCGGAAAATGAAAGTAAATGAAAATTTAAAAGATCTAATGCTCATCATTTGTATGGACCTAAATAATGGCTGGAGACGATAGTTTGTAACATGAAAATCATACAAACTTTCATTTTTTTAATATAATCTGGAAAAAGTATGTCAATCACATTGCATTGCATGAAACTGTTAAGTAAAAACTCAATAAAACTATATTTGTCATATGAGCGTGTATATGTTTGGATAAAATTATGCTCCTGTTTGGCTCCCATTAAAATTTTAATACATTTTTCTCTCTCTTCTTTTCAACTACACATTCTCTAATAAGATAATATTACACGTAAATCGAAAACTTTTCCTTTTTTTTCAACCACCAATTCTCCAAAAAAAACACTATTCTAAATATTAAAATCTCACATAATGGGGGCCAAACGGGCCCTATAAGTTACTAAAATGATAATGTGATTGAAAGTGATGAATAATCACGTACTAGTTGTGCATCCTATGAGATGTGGGGTTAAAATTAAAGTTTGACTATGACCATAAAATCATAAGGAAATTATAATATTTTCCAAGCATGCGCTAAATGTCATTTTCATCGTACATATACTACAAACACATACTATCGAAATGATTAATAATTTGTACAAGATCTAGAAAGCCATTGACACACACCAAGTATAAAAGTAAATTAAGGAAACAACTTGACAAATATCACCACGCAGAATTGCATGTGGTAGAGCATATCAATATTTTTCAGGTTCACATGTATTTTCCATCAATAACGACTTCCAGAAGCACAAAGGCAATTTATATTTATGCTAGCCAAATAGTACATAGAAAAAGAAATTTCGTTTTCTCGTAGAAATAGACAGAACCATAAATATGGCTACAAAATGCAATTCCAAATAAATTAAGTGTGTCCACATTACTCATATGTTCAGGCACATGAAAGCTAATAAGACTAAAGCGTTTGTTTGTCGATTTTCAAAAATGAGAAGTTCTCAAAAACGATCGAAAATGGTCGATGCTATATTTGGCAGCTAGGAATGGCACCTAAGGGTTGGAAACCCAAGCGGAAAACCGAAAGCATGTCAAGTTCACTGAAAGTATTCCAATAACAATTGGAAGCCCCAAAACAACAAAAAGATAGTTCTCAGTCATGCATCCAAAAGATATCGTATTTCCAATCGACATAAACATAATACAACGTACATGCAAATGTATGTGTAAAGCTTGCTAAAGTAACAAAAGTAAATGAAAATGTAAAGACTAAGCCCCCATTGGGAGTAGATTAATATCATATTTTTAGTACATCTTGAAAAGTTGATGAAATGTATGGTTGAAAAGTTATGAGTTCTATGAAATATGTACTTAAAATTAATCATTGACTTTAACTTGGGATTTTGATCAGATTTTAATCTAGACCAAAGGGGCCAAAAACAAAATACAAAAGTCCTATAGGAAGAAAAACATAGCTGATTTTTTTTCACCATAAAAGCCGGGGAAAAAGTACGTTGTGAATTTGTTCAGAAAGGGAAGAAACCATTGACTAAATATGTTCCTTTCTTCTACGACTCAATATGTATAGTCACTAGACGAACCTTGTTCCCATGCTATTCAATTTCTCCTTCAAGTTCACGAAGACAGTCGCTAAAAAAGTGCAATTTGCATAATGCATGTAATAAGACTGCTTTTAGATCAATGTTCCGTTGATACCCACACTTCTAATTTCCCTTCATTGTCATGCATAAATTTGAATGCCAAAGCTACAAAAAGAAGAAGCCAATTTGCAAATATAACTTTGTTGGGTTCAATTGTTAAAGACTTGCCGCTCAGAAAACCCATAAACAGGTCACATGAATACGTGTTTGAAATATCAGATTAAAACACAGACATTTTTTCAATTTTTCCCTACCATTTCCCATCTTCTAATTCAAGTTCCAACCTGTGAATGTCAATACACAGACTCCATTTGGTTTATGATTTTAGCAAGGAAAACACCAAGGTTGTATTTTATAGATATGCTTAGGGCCTCGACATTGAAATTAGAAATGAAAGTCATCAAATTAGAATCACATATTCAAGAATTCCAATTTAAGGCCTCAATCTCATGCCATCATAACAAAGAGAATGATTATATCAACAAAAACTTTTAAGAATTATCTCCCCGACAATTTTATCCCACCTCAGATGTAACCCAGAAAAAAAGTTAACAAAAACAAAGCCCAATCCCTCAAAAACTAAAACACATCCTTTTGTTCATTTCATTTTTGCACAATTTCAAAAATGAAAACAAATCACTTAGTGTTTTACACATTATCCCACAAAACAAAAGCTCCACAGATCTGTACCACACCCAACCCAAGACGAACCAAAAGCAAACCCCCAATGATTCGCACATACAAATGCCACATAAAATATATGACTAACTTGTATCTACAGTTTTGGTACCTGGCTGAACTTGGTCTGCAACTGAGTGTTCACTTCATCGAAGGCTCGTCGGAGCGTGGCGAATTCCTTACGGGCCTCGTCGGAGACCAGCAACTTGGCCATGCCTTCCCAATCAATGGTTCTACCGGCCTTGAAAGCCACATCAGCTACCTTCTTCCCCGCCCCGCTCATTCTGTCTCTGTGTTGATCGAGCAAAATTAAGGGTAGAATCGGAGATGTTGTCTATAATTGTTATGAAGCTGTCTCCATGTGAGTCTAACCCTTAGTTGGCTATAGCCTATTTGGATGCCCGTGTAAGGGCTTCAAGCACTAAAGTTTGCACCATTTTATACCAAATTAAAATTTATCTTCAACCAATCATTACATCAAAAGTTACATTAAATAACAATATTTAATCATTTTCTTCTCTTTTTTATTCTTAATAATTTATTTATTCGAAATATTATTTATTTATTTATTTCTCTTCCAGATTACTAAAATATACACTTGTTTTTATATATCGTTTTCTTTAAATAAAATTAGATTAATGTAAGCATGTGGTTATTGTAATATATTTCGTGTTAACTATAAATAATCGTGTTTATTATATTTTAAATTTTTAATTCTTATTTTAATTAATTCACTAATTATTATTTTCAACATTTAAATTTTTTTTAAATGCAAATAATAATAGTAAAAATGCAAAAAAAAAATAATAATAATAATAGTATTAAAAATTATATTACACAAATGAGGATGATGGTGTCAAAATATTATTTTAAATATTAAATTTTGGAGAATGTGTAATTAAAAAGTAAGAAATTTTTTTAAATTTAAGTGTATAATATTTTAGTGTATAAATATATGATTGAAAATAAGTATGTAAAAAAAAATTGAAATTTTAGTGTATAATATTATTGTTCCGGTATATAATGTTAGTGTTTGGAGTTGAACTCTTACATTTGCAATATATGTTCCATTTGGAAATAAATTTATAAATGATTTACGAATTCACTCAAAATTAAATACTAATTTTAACAATGTAATTTCATAACTACTACTCATTATTATTATTAGTATAATTTGTGAAAATCACTATTATTCCTCTTTATAAAATTTTCAAACGAACGCTTAATGGACTGTTATACAATGGGCACAACGTTAACCTTTTCGACTCTACCTTTTAAGGCACACACTAAGGTTTCTAAAATCTAGATGGTTAGGGATGGTAAGTTAAATCGAAAAACTCGAGCTCCACAATATTCCACCATTCCATGGCAAGCCCGAGGCAAGTTCGCCACCCGACTCTGAGTGTTTAGTTATTGAAAAATATAAAACTTATTTAGAAGGAAAAAATTCATGGGTCAGGTATTATCTTTCATGAAATCAAAAATCAGACTCCAAGGTTTAGAGTTTCAAAACTCAGATTTTTTCATGATTTAAATAATTATATTTAACAATTAATCTATTAATATTCGTTCCTTAATTTAAGCGTACAGTTAAGATTTCCTAATATAACAAAACACATCCCTAATATACAAATTCTGCTTCATCCCCAAATTGATTTCGATTCTGGACTTAATTGACGGTAGATTAAACGAGATATCCGGTCACAAATCAGATTCCGTCGTCGCCGATCACATAGTTCCATACGATGAATATATGTGACGTTGATGACAATGATAGCACATCCAGAATTTCAGATGTCATTCTGTGTTTTGCATGATCTGCTACCTCTTCCATCTTACATATCTGACCTGCATGAATTCAATCCAACTGTTGTCTTCCTACATTTGAAATCTGTGTCGTGCATGATCTCCTACTTGTGACCAGAAATACATATGTGACCTGCATTTAATTTCAATTTAACTACTGTCTTCCTATGGTTGAATTCTGTGTCCTGCATGCTCTCCTACCTGTGACCCGAAACACATATGTGACTTGTATGAATTCAATTTAAGTACAGAGTTCATACATTTAATTTTTGTGCCCTGCATGATCTCCTAACTGTGACCTGAAATACAATTGTGACCTGTATGAATTCAATTAAGTACTGACGTCATACATTTCATTTTGCAGATTAATGGATGTCCACGTATGTTTGCTGAATGGATGGTTAATTATGCATAATGTTATACTATGACCCTCAGATTGCAATGCGTGACATATACTCAGACCCGTGACTTGTGAAATTCGTTTGTGTCACCAGTGTAATATTATCACGTGTGACCCCGTAGAAATCTTCTACTACAGTCTGTGACCCTGTAGAAATCCATATAGTGTTTTTTGTGACGTCATGTAACATTATGTAACTACTAGTATTCCTGTGACCTACATACTCCAAAAATATTATCACATGTGACCCCGCAGAAATCTTCTACTACAGCCTGTGACGTACACATCAGATTGCAATGATGAGTTTTATAGAAAAAAGCTATCTTGTAGGCTGCTATTTGACAAAAGTGCCAATGATGATCACGAAAGACTTATTTTAACGAAGCTAAAACAACAATGTGGTGGGCAATTTACATCAAAGATGGAGGGAATGGTAACTAATTTGACATTGGCAAAGGAAAACCAGAACCACTTCCATGAATATCTCAGCAACAATCAAGCTGCTAGTCCTGGGTTGGAGTTGATTGTCACTGTTTTCACAACTGGATTCTGGCCTAGTTATGAATCTTCTGATCTGAGCCTCCCAACAGAGATGGTGAAGTGTGTTGAGGTTTTCAAGGAGTTTTATCAAACCAAAACGAAACATAGGAAACTCACATGGATTTATTCATTGGGAATTTGCAACATTAATAGAAAGTTTGAGCAAAAAACTATAGAGTTAATTGTCGGGACATATCAAGTTGCAGTACTGCTGTTATTCAATGCATCAGATAAGCTGAGTTATTTAGACATCAAAACTCAGTTAAATGGAGCACGATTCAATATTATTAAGCGGAGCACAGCGGTTTACTTGGTAATAGGGAAATGGAGTAGACTTTTTCTCGACTTTGTAGTATGTAGGCAGCTTTGCAGTTTATACATATTACAAATTTTAAGAAGGGAGTAACAGAGAAGGTCATTGATACTTGTGCCATGCTGCATCTTCCATAATTGTCTTCCATTTGTAATATTTTTTGGTAAAAATGATCCAACAACATGGTATGTTTTGATTCTACTAGTTTATGAACCTAACTGATCATTTTTCTCTACAAAGGGCTTATTCTTGAGTTACTAACGGACTATTCGCAGCTTCCACTTTGAAAAAAAAAAAAAATTCGAACTCATGCCTGCTCACAATGAAAATTGTGTCAATTACTATCAAAAAACTCAATGTTCATTTGTCCCAATAAAAAAAACTACTACGAATCGAAACAGGCGATGCCACCAAAAAAAAGGACAAGGGCAGACAATCAGAAACTTTGCAGAATTTGTTCATTGTTTTAAACTTAAAAAAAAAAAAAAGGACAGCCATCACTCAATGAGAATCTCATCTCCTTTTTTGTGCTTCCCCATCTTCGCAAACTTGCATATCACTCAGCATACTTGATGGTGAAGATGCCGCAGCCGTGTCTGGAAAAAAAAATCATATAATGTATTAGATCGCATGACAAACATTTTAAAAGGAAGTATGAGGTCACTGGCTTACCCATTCTTATGTTAAAGAAGGCTTCTATCAACCATTAGCATCAAGTCCAAACGATCTTTGCCATTGTAGTCAATATGTCTTTTCCAAAGTCCGACAGAGTTCAGTTTTTTCACTTCCCAACTGCATATAACAGAGGTCACGGATCACTTCCCATCTGCACTTACACGATAGAAACATTCAATGCTATTTCACAATCAAACAACAAGTAAGAAATGAAATAAACACGAAGCCCCATACTTAGGTCACAGGAAGGATAGGGTATAAATGCCAAGAAATGTGTAAGGTCACAGGCATACATTCACATCCAAAAATGCACTTCTACCATAAAAAAATCCCCAAACTTCAATACTAGTTCTCAATCAAACAATAGGTCACATGAAGGGTAGGGTATAAATGTCAAGAAATGTATAAGGTCACAGGCATACATTCACATCCAAAAATTCACTTCCACCATAAAAAAACCTCCAAATTTCAACACTAGTTCTCAATCAAACAATGGCTCACAAATGAAATGAATAACAACAAAATACAAAATTGCAACTCAACTCATATTTTCACACAAAACTCCAAAGAAAAAAATCATTCATGACGGAATTGATTCTGTGATTCCATTTACACAACTCATGAAAAAATCGAAATGTTTGTTCGAACTGGCTATTGCCATTTGACCCATGCAATTACCTTCTTCCTTAACTGAATGGCACTTCACCCGTGCGATTTTTGCCTTGTTGTTGGCATTTTGGTGTGGCTGTCTGTTATCTTCCTTTTGTTTGTACAAACCGACGTCTGCACCGACTTCTTGCACTTCTTTTTATCGTTTGTTTTAGCCATTTGTATTACTGCCGAATGAGTTCTCACAGACAATATTGAATGCACTGGAGATTGGGTGGAGACTTATCATAGAAGTTTTCTGAAAGTGGTGAAGAGAGGACGCGAGGAATGTGGAGATGAAATGGTGATCGAGAGAAAATAGGGTTTAATTAGATATAGAAGTTGAGATATTAACCATTTTGAAACTCATAATTAACGGGATACGCTCGTCATTTAATTAAAAGATTAATTGTTTAATTAAAATGATAAAAACTTGATAAATGAAAAAAAAAAAACATGAAAACCCGACTTTTTAAAATGTGAAAGAAGAGGCATGTTTTTATGTAATTTCCACTATTTAGAATCACCTTAGCTCAAATTTTTTATTCTAAACCAAAGCCATTATCCAAGCCCATTAGCTCAATTCTCAAATTACTCTAGGATTTAATGGTCTAAAATAAAAATATAAAAATATTTATACATGACAAGGATTGCACCGGTAGCTATAATGTTTGAGCTTCCTTCATTGAATTGAAACTTTACGTAGATTTTGAAAGTTCTATGTTATCGATAGTACTGTTCTTTTCACATCTATTGATGAGTCCATAATGTGGAACAATGGTACATCATACAATACATGCAACATGAACATCACTTATTATGAGAGAGATCTCACAACATTTTTTTTTTCAGTTAGAGATAACTCATCAATGTGGAACTTTTCTTCTGTTAGGAACTTACATGTTCAAAATAATATAGACTGTTATACCTCTGCCTACGTGATAAAATCAAGAAAGGAAAGTAATTGAATCTGGAAATAACAGGACGAGAACAACAGACAGATAAAAACGGGAGCTAAAATTATTGAACTAAAAACAGAGAGGAGAAAATCGGAAGAGATAAACCTGTTGTGAATAACAGCAGGGAAGAAGAAGAACTATATCATTCAACTTGCTTGAGAAAATACAATGCAATCTATCCTATTTATAGAAGAAATAATTAACCAATTATCTAACAAACTAACAATCTAACAAGCATAAGAAGAGACTAGAAGAAACTAGAATAAACTGAAGCTGAAAGAAGGAACTGAACACGTGAAGGAGAGCTGGAAGTGTTCTGGTGTTGCTGGTAAACAATTGAATCTGATTTGGGAAGGAGAGTAGAGCCAATCAAGGCGCATCTTGTTTCAGAAAAACTGCCAGCGAGTTTGCATGTGCAGGTGAGTTCAAGCTATTGTCACTCAAAGGATCTACTGTCTGATCACCCTTTGATTGATATGTTGATGGACCATCAGTTGAAGGAATAGCAAAAAAGTAATAACTGTGTCGCTAAACCTGAAGTGGAGCTGGATCCTTTGTCTGATTGTTTGCTATCTCCTGTGCCAATAAGAGGAGCATCAACATCTACCAAGGATCGAATAGGTTCAGGTTTTGGTTTCTCTAATGGAACATTGTTTCCAGAAGTAATAAATTCATGCATGGCCAATACATGTTGCAAGTCATTATTCAGTGATAGTCCTTAGTTTAACAGTGACTCATCCGAAGTTGAGTTAACAAGCTGTACAACTCTTTCCTCATATCCAACCCATCCTCTTCTCCCGAGTAACCTCTTGTCTGCCTTTTTTTTTTGGTTAATCTTCCTTCTCCTTTGAGAAGGAATATCTTCAAAATCTTCATCACTTGATTGAGAAGATAAAATCAATCTGAGAAGCTGCCATGCCAGCAGGTTCCATCTTCAATTTCATTTCAATTTCGGTTTGATTCCCTATCTGGGAATAAATCATCCATACAGACACTTTGTTTGCCTTCATTTCATTTAATCGTCCTTCTCCTTTTGAGAAGGAACATCTTCAAAAAATTCCTTCAAAGTCTTTATCATCACAGATATTTCGTCTGCCTTTTCGGTTTATCTTCCTTCTCCCTTTGAGAAGGAATATTTTTAGAAAAATCTTCAGAGAAGCCAGCCATTCCACAGGTTCTATCTTCAATTTCATTTCAATTTCGATGAAGATGAATAATATCTCTTCAATTTTCATTCATTCCGACATTTCGTCGAACATTTAGTGAGCCAAGTCACGTTTTCTGTTTTCTGGTAATGCTGTGTTTCTAAATTCTGATTTTGGTTTTTTTTTTTGATAGATTCAATTTAGAAAAAGAAAGAGAAGAAGATGAATTTCAGAAGGCAGGATCTGAAACCTGTCTCTGATACCATTATAAAATCAAGAAAGGAAAGTAATTGAATCTGGAAATAACAGGACAAGAACAACAAACAAATAAAAACGGGAGCTAAAATTATTGAACTAAAAACAGAGAGGAGAAAACCGAAAGAGATAAACCTGCTGTGAATAACAGCAGGGAAGAAAAAGAACTATATCATTCAACTTGCTTGAGAAAATACAATGCAATCTATCCTATTTATAGAAGAAATAACTAACCAATTATCTAACAAACTAACAATCTAACAAACATAAGAAGAGACTAGAAGAAACTGAAGCTGAAAGAAGGAACTGAACACGTGAAGGAGAGCTAGAAGTGTTCTGGTGTTGCTGGTAAACAATTGAATCTGATTTGGGCTGTTTTATATTCCAACACTACGTGACATAGAACATAACGGACAGTTAAGAGTGCAGCCCATTCTTCGAGCCGATGAGACCATCTATCATCGTCTCCTATTCCGAGATGTTGAGAGTGCAGCCCAACACTTCGTTGGCAACAACCTCTGAGGCGGATTAGCTCAAAGTAGGTCTCTAGACTCCAAGGCAGTTAGGGCTTAATATCTGATGCCTTAGGGACAACTAAAATGTAATGTTTTGATGCTTGACTTGTGAGCCATTTGAGTTAATGACACGTGTCAAACATCCAAGAGACTTTCGATTCGTTCATCTGTCTATGAAAACCCACTCCCTCTAAAATAATGAACCTCAACTCCATCTTTTTTCTCTGCTCGTATCACCCCCCACCCAATATATTTTATTGTTCATTTCATTGACTTGGAACATTTAGAGCCCGAATGATCGCAGCCTCTCCCGACTTTATTTGGAGGGGCTTAGATCTTGCCCATTTAACGCTTGCATTCCAAGTGTGTAGGTAACTTGTACGTAAAGCAAAATAAAGACAGGTTTCATTGGCGAGCAGGATATCATCTAGATTTGAAGGTCAACATATACCATTAAAGTTTCAAAGTCGACTTTTTAATGTATTCTAAATAAAAAACATTTTGTTATGTATTTTCAATTGGATTGAATTTATGTTTTTCCATTTCATGTCAAAAAAAAATAAAAATAAACATTATTTTTAAGTTGAAATCTATTTCGTTAAAGACTTATTTTGAAAGAAACAAAATTAAACATTTAGAGTCCAAACCAATTCCATTATTGTGCAGGAGCCAATCATCAAATATCGTCCAATATACCGAACATGAACAAATTCCCCAATCAAGCTAACGTGACAATGCCTTTAACAACTAATGCCTGCAATATTTCCAAGAAAATATTAAAAAAATTAATAGAAAAAACTAAATAATATTTAGAGATAATAGTTTTTCCAGCAGCAGACCAATATAGTCAAGTGAAAGTAGTACTACTAAGATAGTTAAATCCATGTGTAATGCTTTTAAAATTATTCAGTGTGCACATTTTGTATAATATAATGAAGAGATTTGAAATTATTTTACATTTTTAACAATGTCGCCTTTTTAATGATTAAAATCAAACAAATTACCCACACTTGTTTAAGAGTGTGATACGCATTTTTACATGCGCACTTGTGATCATCTTGACTTTAGGTATAAATATTAATTTTACTACACTAAATTTTACGTAGGTTTCATTCATCACAATTACATAATTTGATTTGTAGTTGCTGCTTGGTAAAATAATTTTGCACGTGCACTTATAATTTTTTCTTATTTTTAATCACACATTCTAAAAAAAAAAAATTACTTTTCACAATTTATTTCAAAAAATCTATATCAAACAAACCCTTAATTTGGTCTCAATCAAATCAATCCATTCAAGTCTGAAATATTACCGCGACGCTGGATAAATTAGGTTTATTTGTATTATATTAATATATTATTTTTTTTGTTGGAAAATTGGTATTAATTAGTTGGTTTGACCATTTTTTGACCAATTATTTTAGTGTGTCCCATCGGCTAGACTAAAGATTTTTTTGACCGAGTACATTCTACTCCATGAATAAATTAATGTAATGTATTTATTTTCTCAAAACCAATTTAGAGTGAATGGAAAATTGAGACCAAAAATGACCATTTGAAGTTGATATAAATTGGAAATAAAAATTGGTGGAAAATTGGATAATTTCAATCCCCACATAGGAAAACTAGAAAAATAGAAACAATTTTATATTATTTAAATTTGAGACTTTGGTTTGGGCCCCAATGGGTACCAATAATCTTTAAGAGGGAGATGACATACATGCTAGTACGTTGAGTCAAAGCCTACACACACACCGCCGTCTGTCCAATCGGTCGGCTTGGCACAGATAATGGGCTTGGGCCAGTTGGTATATATTTTTTGGTAAAATAATATTTGAATTATATTATTTAAAATAATAATATTTTTATTTTTATTATTTATTTTTGCTTGAATTTTTTTGTATTCAACGCGTGACATCTTCTAGAAATCGGCGATTGATAGTTGAATTGTCTATCTAAACAGTTGTGTCTATTTAAGATACAACTTTTCGAGTTCTATATAAATGTCCACTTACCCCAAATTTTATTCATTCAAAAATCTTTTCCGATTTTCTCTCTTACAAAATATAATCATTTCATCATGCATTATTCCATATTGTGCATTTCAGTCCCGAATATTATTTTCTTTAAGCCTCCAATTTTAGAAAGATAAAAAACATTAGTAGGTTCGTCGGGGCTTGTAATTTGGAGTGCTACTATTGCAAGTTGAGGTCGTTGTATATTGGAAGATGAGTGCGAGAAGACTGGTACTCTGAATCCACACTACTCAGAATTTGTTTCGGGCACATGGGACACATAGATGGAAATCTCTGGAAGACAGTATACAGAATGGTCGAGAATGTCACCAAATCCACCCCATTACCAATAAAGAGTAAATAAATTCATATTGACACATTTAGTCCCTGTTTGATAGAATATATTTGAGAATAATGAGTTATGAAATAGTATTTATTGGAGAATGTGTGATAAAAAGTAAGAAAATTTTATTGATTTGTGTGTAGAATATTTTATTGTGTAAATATGTGGTGGAGAAATGATACTGTTATTACTGTAGCAAACAATTTAATTTTTTAAAAGATGACAAACAAGGCCTTAGTTTACCAACGATACGATGTCCATTTTGTTAAAAATTTAATGTTTAAAGATGAAAGTAAGTGACGTTTAGCATTCATTTCGTGTAGTTCGTACCCCTATTAAGTATTTTTGAAGCAAATGTGACACATTTATAATTTCTCGTGCTAACACAATTTAAAAATTTTAAAACAAAGTTTTACTTCTATTTGTTGGTAACGAGATCTTATGTCAACGATTCTTTGATAGTAAAATCTTCATAACAAAATTATATAAAATATTAATAAGTATTTTATGAAAATATCAAAATTATTTAAATAATTAATAGGACATTAATAGATTTGATTTAAAGAACAAAAAATCGAATTATTCCATTTTCCCGACCAATTTTCCCAAATTTTTACTTTCTTTTTTGTTTCGAACTCTAATTTTTACTTTCCCTCTCTTTTCTTTCCCTCAATTTCATTTTTTGCGTATCCAACGTATCAATGACCCCTCTCTTCTTCATCCCCTATAATCAATGTTCTCCTCTTATCTTCATCCCTTATAATCAATGGTGATAAAGAATGACTGAGATTTTTCATTTATGGCCGTAGAAGTTAATTCATTTTGACAATTTTATTTCATATTTCCTTTCTCTCCTCTTGGTTACTTTTTCTTCTTTGTTTTTTGATTTCTTTTTCTTTTCATCCTCATTATTATTCTATTTCTACATAATGATTGGACTTTTGTACTTCCTCTATTGTTAGTAAAAATATTCTAATTTGATTTTGTGAGTCAATTTTGCTTTGTGATGTGCTGACTAGGTGCTTGATGAAATTTCCAACTGGCAGAAGCTTTTTTCTTGACAAAGCTTGACAAGCAAGGACGATGAGTTTGAGAATTTATTGCACTCAGGGAGTTTAAGGATTTCATTACTTGCTGTCTTTAGAAGGACCCTGCAAAGAGGTAGACCACTAGGCTGCTGTTGTTCCATCCTTGTATCTTTCAATTTGGTTCTCCGATCAATAATGGTGGCAGGAGCGATCAGGTGCGTCAGTCTAATCTATTCCTCCTTTACCTCTTCATCTTTCATCTTCTTGATTGTTGCTTTTGGATAATTTTTTACCTTATTAATTTCGTGGGTTGAATTCTGGTTTACAATTGTGGGCCTAAACTGATTATAGAATCTGATTATTACAAAGATTTTGATTAAGTGATTTATTTGAGACTGGTGCCAGTACCTAGATATGTTTTCCAACACAGTAGGATTTGCTTCAGAGTAAAGGTGAGTGCAGGGATAGATAACTAGGACTAAATTTATAAAGAAAACATTAGGGTTTTTGTTGCTGTGAACTAGTCATGATTGAAGTGTTAAATATTATAATAAATTATTTTAATGATATGGAGCTGTTAGAGCCTGTTGAAATTAAACATATAGCCTAGTTATCAACCATAAAATCTCATGGAATCCAACCTGGTATAAATTGCATCACACGTGAAGTCTAAGAAGTCCCCAAGAAAAAAAAAATGATTCTAAGCACTTTCCGTTTGAGACCAATTTATGGAAATTTATAGGCTCCAGAAGATCTTCTTCTCCAGCTAGGTCTTGGACTCTAATTTGAAATGTTTAGACCCTACTAGAACTCAAGTTATTGCTTTTATTATCAAGTACCAATGAACCAAGATACATATTCCCAGACACCCCTAACACAAGCAGTTTCTAAGAATATTTTTGTTGCATTCTCGTTATGCTGTATTTTGAAGCTTTCGTAGGCCGTGCTTTCAATGGTTATCAGAATTACAACTTCAAGCGAAACGTTTACATTATGTTCGGTGATTCAAGTTGAAAAAGGAGTTGAATTGTTGATCGTCTTTTGCAATGTCATCATTCATCATCACAGGCCTGGTGTTCTCAGTCTCTCACTGTTAAACTTTTTGATTGAGCAAGTTTTATCTTAACTAATCATTTTCCCATTTTTTGTTTACCCGTTGAGGATTTTTAAATCTTAATTCTATTTGTTGTGAAAAGAGAAATATTCTTTGATTGATTTTCTTGTTTGTACTAAAACTAATTTAATACATTAATTTGTCTCTATTTTGCCAAGAATGAAATTTCTTAAAACTTATCTATATCGATGAATGTTGGACCAATATAATAAATATTTGTCTCCATCGCCCGAGGGAAACTTCTCCTGATTGATGATCAATCGATATGAACTCTTCTGAGTGTGGAAATGCTTTGTGAGGTCAAGAAAAACCCAGCAGAAAAGTAATCTCACAGAACTTTCTTACTGCACAGTGTTATGTCCTCCGACTTCCTTGTTCCTTTTCATGTACAATTTCTTTTCCTTTTATTCTCTATATTGCACAAGCTTGAGTAATTTGTTTAATGTTATGTTTGATGTTAATTATTACAAGGATGATTTTAGGAAAGAGTACGAGGAGACTAATCCTGATTGCAAAAGTGCAAAAGATGTGAAATTCTTAAAGGTTTTCAACTATGAATTTCAATTCTAGGTTTCTATTATGACATATTTGGTTTCTTGAATATTAGGACGGTGGTGAGAAATGAAAATCCATGACTACTGAAGTGAGGGGGTTTTTTTTTTCTCACTCCATTGCAGTTTTCTCAAGAAAAAAATTAATTATTGTAAAATGTTTGATCTGATTCTAACTTCAATGATCACCAGGAAAAACAACTCTATCAAGATAGAGATGTAGAACTTAATCTTGAAGGCAACTCTGTATTTGATTGTTTTTATGTTGAGAACACCAGTGACTGAACTGGGTATAATCTTTTATTTAAATTATGATATTTGATATTAACATATAATTGTAGTTGATGTTGATATATTTTAATTGATTGAAGGTCCAAGTTCTTGATGTTATTTATAATTGCTTTCTTTTACTTTTAAAATTGTTTATGTTTGTTTCAATTATTATCTCGAACAATATTATTTAAATTTATAATTAATCACATGTTAAACTAATTTTACTTTTAATTTCAACTTTGATAGATTTGCAGAATCTAATGATTCCTTTAGCAAGACATATGGATATAAAAGAAATATAAACAAATGTAATAAAGGTAATATAGTAGGAACTTTTTTTGACTGTGTTAGAATTTCGGTGTGACCTGAATTTCTTGTTGAAGTAATTGATGAATTGAAGTGTACATCAACAAGAATTGAATTTGAAATATTAATGGAGTCCTATGTTAAGTTGAAGTTTTATTTTGGAAGCTCATTGGGAGTATTATTGTTCATCTTTTATTGATAAAAATAATTAATAAAATGAACGGTCATTTCTTTCGTTATTGAAATGAAAGGTTACTAAAATTTGGTTACTTTCATTGTATTTTAACGACAAATATAATTGATGTAACGACCAAACAAGTGGTTGTCAAAAACAAAATCGGTTGTCAATACAAATTTTGTACGACTGAATATTTAGTTGTTGAAATAATACATTTAAAGACTAGATGCGTTTTAGTCGTTGAATATAATCGTCAACACGTCTTCGCTGACCAACAAACGACCGATTGATTTTGGTCGTTGAATGTAATCAACGACATATTACCATTGATTTATATGGTTGTTGAATGAGGTATTTTCTGTAGTGGCTCATGTTCGAGTCTCATTCTTCTAATAAAATAATTTTGTACGTAAATCCAATTTTATCCATATTTTTTAACCTCAAATTCTCCAAAAAAAAAAATAATAATAATAAAAATTATTTTTTACAAAATATATTCTAAAGAAATAGGACTTACAAGTGCTGCATCACAAAAATGTCTCAAGTACTAATTAAGAGATACATGTTCGATGGAAGAGACAATTGAAACTCCAAACTCCGCAAGCAGTTTACAAGTCCTAGTAATTGTAACACTACAACTAAAAGTATTCAACTTTGAAATCTTGATTCAATTCAAAGTGTTACATTTGACAAACACTGTCGATTTAAGTTTAATTACAATTTCATATATGAAAAGTTCACACGTGACGTAACTCGGTGAAAAAAATAATTTTGATGTATGTACAAGAAGACGGGTGTGGTTCAACATACAAGCAAGAATTGAAACTTCATTCGCGATTTATAAGTTCCAACAAAACAATACTAGTCAAGCATTCAACTTCGAAATGCTTGATTATAGTTTCATCCCATAAAGTATTTTCTGACTCGTATCCAAATTTTTGGGTATAGTCGATATAAAATTATCATTTCCAAACATGCTCCCATAATGATCCAAGATTTTCATCCAGGAACCTCATATTGGTTTGGTAATCATTGTCATAGGAATGGTGTTGGTGAGGACTCATATTTTGCCATTTTTCCATCCAAATGAGGGCCATAAGATTTGCTTGTTGAGATTGCATATAAACAATCTCAGCTTGTGCCATTGCTAGTTGTTGTTGAAGTTCATTAACTTGGTTTTGGAGTTGGGAAATCGCTCCTGCACTTCCATACACAGGATCCCTTAGTCTGGCATTTGCTTCGTAAACCATGCTACTCACCGCATCGGCTCTTTGGTCCTCTGGCAGTTCCTGATATGGCATCGCAAGATGTGAATAATTGGAGAAAGTGATATTAAAATTCAACTACTCGTTTGAACTTCAGAGGAATCGAATTGATCATTTTATGCATCAATCATGCCCTAAATATACATACATAAGTACAAACACATATGTAGATAAATAAAGAAATTACCTGCAAGAATTTGATTATATTGCTTGCGCCAAAAACACGATGAGCAGTGGTAAACTTGATTGGATCATTTGGAGGAAAATAGGGTGCCAACACACATTTTTCTACACATCGCCGCCGCAAGATCTTGCAAGCGGCGCAAGGGCTGACCACGGGCGGTGGTGGCGGCGGCGGAGGAGGAGGAGGAGGAGGAGGGGATAAGGATGAAGTAATTGTAGTGTCACTATAGCAATACTCCATGTCAAGGAGAGAAAATATAGAATATTGTAATGGTGGTGCTTCTTAGCAGTTACGGCGTTTTGCACAATATATATATAGGCACGTCAGATGGGGCAGGAGTGAGTGGGGTGGGGTATGACTACATGGAATTAATTGTTCAAAAAGTTAAAATTGACAATTAATTATAATCGCATATTTAATGTGATTCACAATTTTTTATCGACACATTTCATCAACTTTTATCAAAATTTACTAAAAATTTAATTTTAATTTTAATCCCTACCAAACAAAGAATAATTTTGAAAATGTTGTGTGAAAATCAATCATGCTCAATGTCCATCATTTTCTACATCTTGCCACATGACAACACATCATTGAACAGTTTAAATTTTTGACAATTTTTCCTCCCAATCACACTTGCCAACACACACAATGTTAACAATCATGTCGAGAAGAGTGTAGAAGTGGCATTTCTCGAAAATAATTTCCTCCCTTGCAAGTTTGCGAGAGAGGATCACTTTAATTTGTAAAATATTTTTATGACATTTGACATTGAAAAAAATAATAATTATTAGGGCTAGTAAGATACATACAATTAAGGACGGACATTATTGATTTTTCTTAAAAATGTGGAATATCTATGTCTCAATAACTTTCGTGATAGATGTGTTGTTGTCACAAAATTTACGATGATTGCAACTGATATTGAAACTTCTGCTAAAATCATTGTTCGATAATTTTTACGTCAAATTTCTTAAACTTAATTCTAACCAATCAAGTTTAGAAGCAGCAACGTTGGTAAAACAATTTTGCATTAACAAGTGATTGATAGATCAACATATATTGTTGGATTGATTTTTAACAAATCCAATCATTGACTAATTGCAATAACTCATCCAACGTAAAATTGAAGAAATTGTAAGAGCAACCTTTTGGGTGGAAAAAGTGGAAGAAGATATCTTTTATTAAAGTTACATAAATAAAGCTTCCTTTTTATGAGAATCTCAATTTGCCTTTAACCATTTCTCTCCCCCACGTATTATTCTTTCCCAACCACCCAATTGTTATTTTCTTCTTTTGTTGCCAATTCTCACGATTATTTCATAGGTATCTCATTTCGATTTGTGTAGAGAGTGAGTCTTTACTTACTATATTAGCCGTCAAAAGGGGAATTTTAATATATTTGTGGAAAATTTTTAATATAGCATCAAAAGGGGGCTTTCCCAGAACTGATGGAACCGAACATGAACCAGTTAAAACTACCCGATTTGACTTTAAATAGTCCAAGAAACAATTCGATTTGGGACATATTATCGAGAACCAACCGATTCTGGTCCGATTCTCGTATGATTCGGTTCTCACAAGTTTTTTTATTTTTTCCCTTTTTTTATTGCATAAAAACCTCAATCTTTTATTATTTTTATCAAACATAAATTAGATATTTAAGTTTTTTCTCAGTTCAGATTCCTTCTTCATTTCGATTTGTGTAGAGAGCGAGTCTTTATTTACTATATTAGCCGTCAAAAGGGGAATTTTAATATATTTGTGGAAAATTTTTAATATAGCATCAAAATGGGACTTTCTCAGAACTCATGGAAAAAAACAGGAACCAATTAGAATCGCCTGATTTGACTTCAAATAGTCTAAGAAATAATTCGATTTTGGGACATATTATTGAGAACCAACCGATTCTGGTCCAATTCAGTTCTCAAAAGTTTTTTATTTTTATTTTTCCCTTTTTTATTATATAAAAATCTCAATCTTTTATTATTTTTATCAAACATAAATTAGATATTTAAGTTTTTTCTCTGTTCAGATTCCTTCCTCATTTCGATTTCCTTCTCCTCTTTAATTTATTTGATTCTTTTATTTTCTCTCCTTTTAGTTCTTTGATTAATTGATTATTTCCTTCTCAAGACAAATTAGATATCGGGTAAATCTACACCTAAATAATTTTATATATACTATATCCCCGGTATGGACTCCATTAAAAATGTATTTTTGAGGGAAAATGTATTTTAAAATAATAATTTTTTTGGAGAATGCGATTAAAAAATAAGGAAAAATTGAATTTACTTATAATATTATTGTAATGAAAATTGCATAGTTGAAAAGATGAGAGAGAGAGAGAGAGAGAGAGAGAGAGAGATGCATTTTTTTTTAGAATGGAGCACAAACAGGGGCATAATTTCATTCCCAACATGCAAAGTACAAACCATTGAATTTTTTTTTTTTTTTTTTTGCAGATTCATTGTTTCTAATTTAGACCCATGTTATATATTTGGTAATATTATTCATCCCCATTGGGGATGTAAATACAGTCTATGTGGCGCTAATGTGACATTAAATGATAGGTGAAATTAAATAAGTAATTTAATTTCATCTTTCATTTAACCTATGATTTAATGACACATAGACTGTGTTTTCATCCCCACTGGGGATGAATAACATTACTCTATATATTTCATTGGGAAATTTGCAATTTGAAAGTAGACTTACAACTTCAAGGCACTTAATAAAAATTTAATGTTTAATGGCATGTTTGTTTAATAGTTGGAATTCTATACAGGTTACAAAGGTTGGTGATTGCTTAATGATAGTAACTTATATTATTTTTAAATTTGAATACTAAGTTTTCTTTTAATTTTTGAACAGTATGTGTGTTGCTTCTATATTTTGTTAAGGTATCGGCTCGACATCATCTTTTGAATTTTTTACGCGCGAACATTTTGTTTTGACATTTTCAATGTAAAGAATTGTACCGGACTGAATTGGAACCTGTTCGATTCAGTTATATAGTTAGATATGGAGCTGATGGTTTCATTTCTAAAATTTTTCTTGGTACTCTATTGGGTTTGGTTCACTTCGGAACTAGATCACGCCCAGTAAATACCGAGGGAGTGTTCTTAACTGAAATTTTGATGTATTTTAAAATATTATAAATTCTAATGAATTTTATGAATTAGAATTGATTTCTACAAAATTCATAAGAATCTCGTTAAAAATTGTGAAACTTTAAAAGAGTTTTTTATATTTATTTTTAAGCTTGAAATCCAATTAAATTTTATAAAATTCCTCTACTAATGAAACCCTCATAAATCCATGAGTTATTTTTTTATGATACTTAGGGTGCATTTTAATTATTGTTTTCATGAAGTTTTTAATTTTTATTTTCGCAAAACAATAAAAACTTGTTTGGTCAGGTATTTTCTGAAAATCTATTTTCGAAAACATTGATAAATTTATAACATAAAACTCACAATGCATTTACGATATTTTGAATGTTTTCAGCGAAAATTCTAAAAATTCAAAACGTGGAAAACAACAGTTTAAATACAATTTTAAAAATTAAAAATTTTAAAATATAAAATTCTAACAAATAAAATTATAAAAAATTAAAATCCAAAAACTTAAATTAAAAAGATAAAAGTGATAGATTCTAAAAAATATATAAAAAATTGAAAAAATAAAATTCTAAAAACGTAAATTTATATAAAAAAAAAATTCTAGAAAAATAAATATAATTCTAGCTCTTAATGATTTTTAACATAAAAATTTTAAAAAAATATATTTTTAAATGAACACAAACAAAAATATTTTAAATCTACGTCATTAGTTTTTATATTTATTTCCTATATTTTAAAATTGATTCATTATTTTTTATTTGAATTTTATAGAGAAAAATATATTATAATTGTCACCAACTTTAAAATGTATATAATACTTGATAATATATTAACATAAATTTTTTTTTATTTTTACCGAATAATCAAATTTAATGAAATAAAATGCCATAAAATAATTTTTTACCATTTCAAATCAAAAATTGTTTTTTAGTTTTTTATTCTGAAAAAATAATTTTTCAAAATGAAAAACCAAAATGCTTTTAAAAATAGACGTTCAAAATAGAAAATAGAAAATGAATACAAAACTCAAAATTGAAAATCTAAACACAAACCAAATGGGGCCCCTAGATTTTAAACGATTTCATTGAAATTCATTAAAATTTCAGTTAAGGAACACCTAGATTTCAAAATCTCGATCGAAGATACTCAGACCATATAAAAATTGGACAAAGTTTCTTAGTGCTTATTATCAACTCGTCAGACTTCAATTATAATTGCATATATTTTATAGGATCCACAATTTTTATTTAATTTTTTAACCATATATTCATTCAATTTTATCAAAATTTGCTAATTTTTTTTTTATAGAAAATCGTCAAACAACTCCTCAGTGGAATGTGAGAAAATGTATTCATTGGAGGGGTTGTTACCAATTTTGAGACAAGTGATACTTTTTCAAATTAGGCTCCTTTACCAGGAAGAATTTGTCACCCTATGTGATCGACACTCACACGAGAATGAAATCCATGTAAATAAAATATATCAAAAAATGCTCCCTAACAAGTATGACAGCATAGCAGCATTGCACTTTTCTGGCTACCTAACTACCTAGTCATTATAAAAAATAAGAAACGGTGGTGTCAACAATGCCCTTTAGCAGAGATCAATAATTAAGGCACTTTTTTGAACGACTCCTCCACGCAAATGGTCATCTTGGAAGCACGTTTTTCTTATTATATTTCGTGTAAATTAGTATTGATGCAATGGAATATACAAAATAATGAATAATACTTTAAAATATTCACCGATTCGATAATATATAAATAATTAATATTTATCGTTGAATATTGAAGATGTGAGGATTAAAAACTCGTTGACTTTTAAAGAAATCGAAGACTTTAACGAAGTACGAGATGAGCCCAAATTTATTTGATAAACCTAAAAATACAAGAAACCTCTAACTAATTTAAACAGTAAACCCAGAAGAAAAACTAGTTTTGCAGAAGATGTAATTGTCCACAAGTAATTAAAGAAAAAATAAAATAAAATCGACGTGTTTGACAAGATAATCTGTAAAGTACCCAATTCGATAAAGATCTATCAAGAGAAACGCTCTTGAATAACATCATCAAGAACCCCAAAAAGCATTAAAAGGGACGAGATACTCTTTCAGAC